ACAAAATTTCGTATTCGAACCTCTTAAACAAATTCGGGTGTCATCGTTGAAACAAGTATGTATAGTGGTCAGGTTTTTTGGTCCAGAGAGGTTTAAGGTAGACACAATTTTATGGATAACAATTTCTTGAATCGTAAAAAGCGACGTTTCGGTATAGATCGTTATACCGTTGTCAATCAAAACTGAATAAGGGACATTGTACAGAATATATATATAATTGGTGGAGGATTAACAGTAGAGGATTAACAGTAAAAATTGCATACATGAGTGGGATAACATGAGTAGGTGTTGACAACAGAATGATAATACTGTCACAACACGATGGAAGCCAATGGGACATGAAACCAATTAAACAGGATAAGTGATTATTGCTTGATGAGTTCATGGTAGGCGGATGGGATGAAATAGCCTTGATCTATACCGAAAAGTCGCTTTTTACTGTATTAAAGAACCTGTTGTCCATAAAATTGTGTCTACCTTGTCATCCGTCAATTTCTAAGTAATGCCTGTCAAACGAAGTTTAAGCAGGACAAACAGTCCACGACACATGGTCACTTGACATTCAGTGAGAGGAGCTAATAAAAGTAAATTGTACTAAATTGTTCTAAATACAGACGTCCGCTTACACCAATAAACAGGAATTTCTGATTTCTGAGGGAATGGTAAGAGTCTTGTTTGATTGCAAAGACCAAATCATAAAGTAGCACACTTGACAGGGATACTTTAATCACAGTATATATATATATATATATATATATATATATATATATATATATATATATATATATATATATATATATGTACTCTTACAAAGGTAGGGTGAGTGAGTGAGTGAGTTGGGTTTAACGGTTTAAAAGGCGGCGTTAAACCCAACTCACTCATCCTATTAATTTTCAGTTCTTTACGAGTATACCCTACTTTTGTAAAGAGTATAAAGTGTCCATGAGTGTAAAGACTATCGTCCTGTGTCATAAAGTATACTGGTGGAGTGAGGTAAAGAAACAAGTCACTTCGGTACGTAGTACATCATCCATAATGGTTGGTTGGTTGGTTTGTTTGTTGTTTTACGCCGCACTCAGCAATAGTCCAGCTGTATGATGGCGGTCTGTAAATAATCGAGTCTGGACCAGACAATCCAGTGATTGATATCATGAGGATCAATCCACACAATCGGGATCGATGACATGCATCAAGTAAGTCAGCGAGCCTGACCACCCGATCCCGTCAGTAATAATCGAATCTGGACCAAGCATTTACGGCAAGCATGGGTTGGTGAAGACCTATTCTAACCCAGATCTTCACGGGGATTATAGGTTGGATTGTGACTGTGTTGTCTAAATAACTTATTGTCATCTATCATGCCCAGTGTATTTTTGTGTGCGTGCAAAGGCACCGTTGTTTCTTCAGGTTATACAAACTTGAACTTCTATTGAAGATTATATGCGGCTATATCTATAGATCGAATATCGTTTGATGAAATCAATGGTAGATAGATAGTTGAGTACAGCGTGTCGTACCATTGTCGAAAATGATTCAGGTACTCATACTGCTGTAAGCAAGATTGATTCAAAGAAAACCGATGAAAGGGAAATGTCCCGGCTTTCATGTGAAAGCTTGTGAATGTGTTATTTCCCTGTTGTGTGGTTTGAAGATGTCTAACAAACTCCACTGAAACTGAATACCAAATGACTTGCGACACGTGGATGAGTGACGGTGCTACCGGTAGAGCAGGACATGTCTCTCCCTTTTCGCAAACACATGGTGTCATCACCAATTTACAGTGATTCATTCATATAGTGTAACCTAGTTTACCCTTTACGCCCTTTGGACTTTTTGTATGTGAATCATGCTTTTCCAAAAAACACTAATATTGGTCTTTTTTCACTTTTTTTTGTAAATGATATTTGATGTCAGGTCTACATTGTAGGGTACATGCTTGGGTAGTTTGGCACCTCTTCATCTGAATAAACATCGTTAGCAGGATAAAAGTGAAATGTATAATAAACCTGGTTATGAATCGTCTTTGGGTCATATTTGAGAAACGTGAGCAATTTAGTTTAAGAAGTTATTTTAATATTATAATATCACCAGACCTGTAAATAATCACGTCTGGACCAGTAACTAAAAACAGGAGCGACGTTATCAGGCCATGAGGACAACGAAATGAGGGACGTCCTCGGAGTGTAAAGCAAAATTGATTGTGCTCTGTTGGTACCTACGCACGTACAAGAGTTCCCTGAAATGAAATAAGCGTGTGCACGAGGGAGAAAATGACTGCACGTTGAAATACATGTTTTCAGACTACCTGGAAGAAGACTTTTGGTGGCGTGTCACCTAGTGAGTTGATACAGCAGAAAATGTTGACTGTAAAACAATGAAGCAATTTAAATATTCTAATTTTATTGCAAATGAGTAGGTACAGTATTGTTCTACCTTTACAGTTGGTACACCCAGAGACCTATAAAAATTAATATGATTCATATTGATAATAAAATATCAACAAGACTGTATGACAAGAGGGAGATCAAAAGGGATAACTTCAACTTTCCCTCTATGTCAAGCAATATTCCAGCAACTCAAGTCTTGGGCCCTACATTTCCATTTCACAACTTTTGACGAACACTCGAGCATTCTTTTTCTCCGATGATTTCAAAGAACGACATTAGAGTCTTGCTCAAAGCGTTTTCAGAAAGGGTTACACCATTTCCACCTTTTCAAAATCTAATGCATCACTTTTTTAAGAGTATATATTAACCTCTATCCATGAGTATACAGGCTGTCGTCTTGTGTCCTAAAGTGTACTGGTGGAGTATTTCATTGATAATTTGACAAAAACATGTACTACATTTTATGACCAAAAAAACTTTATGTGTCATATTAGGATAATTTCTATTCAATGCTGAAAGGCCTCAGGCCAATAGTACAATTCTGTTTTCGGGAGTGGTTAAAGATATGTTTAACAGGTCATATTCTAATTAACGTAGTATGATAAATGAACATTGATAGACCTTTTAGAGTATCTCAATCTGTTGTTGACATGATCGATATAAATTTGTGGTGAGTGGCAGAGACATGTCATTGTCACATGTTTCCTGATCTGAAAATTCAAAGTAGGTATCATCCCCAACACCATTTCCACTGAACATATTTTGAAAATAATCATACCATTTATCAATTTCAATATTATTTTAAAACTCATAATGTGGATTTAGCTTTCCGAAGGTTGTCTAAAATTCTTCCAACAACTTAAACTTATCTTTCAAATATTGCTTTTCTTTTCAAGAAATATAAGCTTCTTTTCCCTGCATGTGGTTTTGATAAGATTTCTAATTCTTGTATATTCCCTTAACGACTGCAAATGTGTATCTATTCTGAATTTGTTGAGGCATGTACATCTCTCTTTTTTTAGTAACTGACATTTCCAATCAAACCATTGTTGTGTTTTCTTATTCATGTCAACTACTTTCTTCATTTCGTCACCAGCAGAGGAGAGTGCCTTTCTATACTTTTATCAATATTTGTGAATACGGCATCAACTGCTTTTTCAACCCGTGATAGAAACTTGTCTGAAGATAAGTTACAAAGAAATATTTCTTATGGATCAGTTCTCCATTTAAATCTTAATGTACTTTTACAATTGATACCATCATAACCATCGATGATTGAGTGAAGGGTACACGTACGTAACGTTTGCATATGTTGCGACTCGTAACGTGTGTCTATGTTGAACGTTTTACAGATGTCAGACATATGTACATTGTACGGTGGAGATAATAATTATAGTCATTTACGCTTGCCACTGTACGACTGATGAATGTATAGTCTCCAATACCAGCGTTACTGCCACAACGACCATTCGTAATATGAATATTTAAGACAGAGCAAAGATTCAACAAAACATTTACCAAACTTATTTAAAATATTAGTGAAATAGAATATCTGTAAATAAAATTGATCTATCCAGAAATCCAACTTTTTGTGCTGATTGTCCCCCAAAACTATTCACAATCCCCTCGAAAATTATGTTCCAAGCAATTCCCTCGTTGCCCTTGCACCTATCTTCAAGTGAACGCATGCCTTGCCTATGCATGTGTATGTGGCGGGTGTCATCTGTAGGGCAGGGTATGCTCACCTTATCGCGAACACCTGGTGTCATCACTAATTGATATTTGGGGCACGGGTGGCCCAGTCGTCTAAGGCGTCCCTTAGGCACGCCAGAAACCTATGATCGTGGATTCGAATACCATTTCGCCCCGATTATGTTTTTAGGTTTGCCAGCACCATACCCGTGCTCGTGGGTTTCACCGAAGTGGTAAACGTCAGTGACCTGAATCACTTCGGGCTTTCCTCCCATATTTAGCTGACACGCCGTGATATAACTGGAATACTGTTACAAGCGGCGTTAAATCCAACTCATTCACTCACTCACTTATTGATTGGGTTTATAAACACATGCTTATACTATTGTCGGAATCAAATTTCGAAAACGAGTTTTCTTATGCTTATTGACATGGTTTTACCTTTTTTCCAAATGTACAAATGCTAAGAGAGTTTAAAAAACGCGTGCGGTAGCACCCTAACTGAGGCCTCTGACGGCAATTTGGACACCTACAAACAGTTGTATTTCCTTAACGACCCATTATAGGTGTGTTGGATGTGTTGGAACTGGCCATTGCTTCATACAGATGTAAACTCCCAGTTCCTAACCAGTATATTCACGTTATTATTGTTACAAATATTCTAAAATGTCAATAATCATTCTACTTCCATATACTTCTTTCAGGTAATCGAATCTCAGCAGAAATGTTCCAAACTTCAAGAACTGGCAGCATTTCAAATCTGACAAAGGTGGATGGACAGACAGTGTTCAGCTCGGATTTCCTGTTGTTTGACGTGAAGAGCTGCAATAAAGTGCAGCTTCGCATAAATAGCGAATCAAGCTTGGCAGTTATTGAGATTTATCAAAACATGACTTCTCACGTGCAGCTCTGTTACGATAAAGTCAATGGTAAATGCATTGCAGAGATGTTTGCTGTGACTGGTGACCTGTGTGGCGGCTATACACCCATATGGTTGCAGATGGCACCACCTTCACTCATTATCGGTGAAGGCTGTGACGTTGGAGAATCCAAACTTTACTCATACCCACTGATGTTCTTTGACATAACGCTCGACATTAAAAGCATCGGAGTCTCTTCGACAGATGATGCCTGGTGGAGACTGGGTAATTATGTTTTTACCAACAGTTGAACAGTGGAAAAAAATACAGCTCTTTATAACTAACACAATGTGTCAGTAGGTTTATTTGTTAGTTGATTAACGCCGCACGAAACAATATTATAGATATATGGTTCACAAAACATCGGGTGTAGAATTGGTCTTCCGCAACCTAGGCGACTATGCTTGTCCTTTGAGGCCACTAACGGGATCAGGTGGTCATGCTGACATGGTTGATGTATGTCATCGTATCCCAATTGCATGGATCGATACTCATGATATCAATCACTGTATTGTCTGGTGCAGACTCGATTATCTTTAGACCGCCGTCATATAGCTGGAATATTGCTGAGTGCGGCGTTAGACAACAAACAAACATAGAGCCATGCCGTATCGTGTGATATAACTTAAATGTGTCAATGAACTACAACATTAGTCATATTTTACATTAGCAAAGTTTGATGTGTTTCAATGCTGGTTGACTACAGGGGAATCTGCGTGTCGACCTGTGACCACACCAGCTAATACCACAACGTTGACAACACAACCGAGGACATCCGAAGTACCCTTGGCGAATCATGCAATGATGAATGAAACCATGCATAAGTACATGAACATGGGGCGATCTGGCGGTGCTGTCTGCAACAACTCCCTGACTGTGATGACCATGGTTGTTACGTATGTATTGTGCTGTCGAGTTCCATGCAGTGTGAGGTAGGGCACCATGACCATTTACGAGGGTCGATTGTTCCAGAGTCGATTGTATTGTCAACATATTTCTTATATAGTAATACCAACTAATATCACAGGAAAAGACTTTTCATTTTGAGAGAGCATGGTCAAACACAAAGGTAAAAACAAGGACAACATATTAATTATTTAAATTCTGGCGTGGAGTCCTGCTTACTAAACGTATAACAAATTTGATTACATTTTCAATAAAAAACATATCTAAATAGATTTAACGATATGGATGCCACATTCGGATGGGAACCTCTCAACCAAATTGGAGTGTCATCATTGTGGGAACAAGAAAATGACGTCTCAGTTTCATTTACAACGTTAAATAACAAACAACCGAATACATATGCTGACAAGGGTCCTATGATTGTGGGTTCGAATCCCAGGCTTGCCATGATAATGATAGTCACTTCGACAGACCATACAAATCCGTCCGGGATCCTTAAAATGGCAAACGTCAAAGTCTTGCATCTTTTCGGGGTTTCTTCTCACGTGAAACTGAAACAACGATGTAGCTAAAATACTTATCAAAGCGGAGTTAAACCCACTCTGTTCTAGGTTTACTGTCAACATATTGACCATCCACTTCTCTGGTCCTGAGAACAAGGGTGCATAATGAAACAAACACCAGCGATGTGTTTTGCAACCGAAGAAGCAGGATACGCTGTTTCATCACTTTGATTCATACACGCATGCTTATGATATAGACGAAATCGTACAATGACCCCTGCTTTTAGGAAATATTTCTCATGGTAATGTAAATAGTTTTTGTCGCTTTTGTTAAGAATATTGAATGAACATCATGTTATTGTAGTATTTAACATTTCTCATAAACCATGCAATGATATAAACCTAAGTATATTCCTTTTCAGGTTGATGTCCTTTGTAAAGTACTAATGAAATGTACAGTTCGAGCTGACAAACTTGTCAATGCATGGTGTCATTTAATCTCATAATGAATTAAAATTTGCTGTGAAAATAAAGTGTGGAGTTATTGTGAAAAAACTGAACTTAACACCAAAGAAAACTGAAAACTTAGTACATGTTATGACAGGTTCTGACGCCTTATCCCCAATGGGTGAGTGAGGTGACACGCCACTTTTATCATTTTTATCGCTACAGGAGAGATAAAAAAATGGTCTTCACACATAGCTAAGTCGGGAAATATCACTGGACGATCAACAACAATATGGAAAGTACCATATGCATAGTCAAGCTTTGTCAGTGGTCTTGCGCTGTAATATTAAAATATGTTTTCGGAAATGCAACGTAAACATACGTTTGGGAGATCCTAGGCGATGTATGGGGGAAAAGGAACACTTGATTTGTGAGGAGCCCAACGATGGACTTCCTTTGATTGGTTGTGTTGAAATACTCGTCCATATTGTCAATGTGAACCCCGATGCACCACCTTTAAAAATACAAAATATCTTCATTGTATGATACCGACTGAAGTATCTGTACACAAAATGGTCCCACTTGTATTTCTTTTGGCCAAGAAACGACTGAAATGGATCGGTGGTCAGGCTCTGAATTGCATGTCATAGAGCCCAAATGTTGGTTGTGTTCCAAGTACTGGTTGTCTGGTCAACATTGGGTTATGTACAGACAACCCTGATATAGCTGGATTCTTGTTCACTTAATACCACAACACCGCGCCTTGTCACAATACATGCGTCATATACAGTTGTAAGCTTAAATACCTTTGACCTCAGGAACCGGATCTGTACACACGTTAACTCGTGCAATCGTAGACATCACCTTGTGTTGTTTGTCGTGTTACGTTAAGCACACTTCATACCTATTTTGTATGTGTCGAATGGTTTGATAATATCAGTTACACGTCCAAGAATATCCCTGTCAATTTATACCTTTTCATTGGTGTTGACATGAATGAATGGACATGTATCAACCAAGTCAGCGAGCCTGACCACCCGATCCCGTTAGTCACCTTTTACGACAAGCATAGTCGCCCTTTACGGCAAGCAAGGGTTGCTGAAGACCTATTCTACCCCGGATCTTCACGTGTCGAATGAATGAATGAATAAAGTAGTCAAGTTGAGGCCAGAGTTGCAATCAGCCAATATTATGCTCAGAATGACTGAGGACTTACATTAAGCACACTATGCAAATATCAGAAATATATGCACTGATATTATAATCCTCGCCGAGTAAGTAACGAATACTTAATGTTTAGTAGTTTGTACTTAACGTATTAATGATAGCAGATATCACCATGTGTCTTTGCCAAGTTGGTTTTCTTATTTCTGTACTTGTGATGAACACATTATACATCACCGTAGCAATCATTCATGCTTCATTAATTTTCCACACTGTAACCATGGTGATACCGGTAAGGTGTGTGTGAGTGTGAGGTGAGGGTCAGGAGAATAGAGCAAGGGGGAATGCGACTTCAGTCATCACGTATTTGTTTGAGCCATTGTGTGTTCGGAAGAAAACAAAGCTGGTGATAATAATTTAATAATTACAATAACCGCATCTGGGAGTATCAAATGAAAAGTAAATAATATAGGCAGGATATAATTCAATGATTGAACTTCCTTTGTCATTGTGAACCCCTATGCTCCACCTTAAAATACAAAACGTGAAACTGCTAATTGGTTGCTTGAATGGTTGCTATTATTACTACAACTCGTTTTGTGCCTGTTTGGTTATCGATTAAATTAGTTTAGTATTAATTGGTAGAGATGCTTCTTACCTGTGAACGCTACCGTAGCGATTGAAGTGCCTATATGCAGTAATTCATGGGTCAGAAACACCGCTGCCGAGGTCATTCAAAAACTTAAGCTTGTAGTAATTCTGGAGGTTTTGCAGTAAACCGTTTTATAAAAACCCTATACGGTCCCTCTTTGGTCCCTCTTTGCCTAATTCAGCTGGTGTTAATATTTCAAGTGTTTGTATCTAAATCAGTACAAAATGAAAAAAACACAAATTAACTTAAAAGTTTACACCGTTTCAAGTGAGTTGTCTACGAACGATTATTTTGAGGACACACTCATTTTTCTGGCGACGATTTTCTATAAATGGGAATAAATAAAATAGATTGATTCAATGGTCGAGTTCCTACAATTGCTGGTGTGTCACAAAAACGCATCATTTATCGATCACTTAAAAGGTTTTGTGAAATATACTGAACAACCAAAATTCCTGTGACATTGAATGAGATTTAATGCAAAGTTATGTTTTTTACCAAATCTGAAAACAATTTCGGTTTGCAACAGATAAAAGACTCCTGTAAGTGTTCAAATGGTTTAATTTGCCACACTGACTTCAGAAAATGCGTGATTTCATAAAAAAACCATGAACATGCCAAAATGTCAATTTACAAATCAATAGCGTGTGTGTCCATCTCTGGTTGCGATGCAAGCAATACATCTTCGTCTCATGGAATGGATGAGTCGTCGCACAAAGTCCAGTTGGATATCTGTCCATATCTGCTGGAGCATGTATCGAAGTTCCCGGAGTGTCTGTCGAACACGTGGTTAACGTCGAAGGCGCCGATCCATCTCATCCCACATGTGCTCGATTGGTGAGACATCAAGGGAGCGAGCCGTGTGTGTGTGTGTGTGTGTGCGTGCGTGCGTGCGTGTGTGTGTGTGTGTGTGTGTGTGACATCATGTTGCCATCACATACTGCCTGTATGTTCAGTGCGTGGTAACCCTTCCGACAAACGTAGGTTACCTCGTCACGTTTCGGCGCCATGATGGGATAAATTGTACAGTCAATTGCAACAAGCACTTTAGAGAATCCAGCTATGTTGAAGAATGATTCTTTGGTACGCTTTGTGGGAAATACAAAATCGCACATGGTTGTCTGTTGTTGCATGGATTGCTCTGCAGACGGAGGATTTACTCACACCGTGGATATCAGCAATCTCACTGTAAAACCTGCCCTTTCAGAACCGTTAAAACATTCAGGTAAGGTGGTATTGCATGGGAACGCTGGGTTTGATGTTCAAGTCTGCCACTCACTTTATAAATCATAGAAAATAGCATGTGTCGTTAAAGGCGGTACCTCACGATGATGTCATTATCATTGTCGAGTGGATTCGACCTGTCGCAAAATATAAGTTCTCGCCTACATACCTTTTGGCTATCTCATCCGTGTTTAGATTGATTGCCATAGTCATCGCTCGCGTAAATATTTACATCCCCCAAGACCACACGTACAATTTACGCCAATTATACACAGACTTACTATTACACTAACTTTGTGAAAGAACCCTACTTCAGTATTGCCAAGTTACGACAGTTTTACACGCACGTAAGGCTTACATGTACGACTGCTTTGTGAACCGGTAGTCTGTTCCTGTCTGGTAGGTTTATTAGTAAATGATAAAACACGCCTGCAGGTTTTGGTTGTAACTGTAAGAATAGCCCACAGGCTACATGTTCAACCAAAATTGTAGCGAAATGTTTTATCAAACTTATAAACCAAGTTTCTGAATGCAAGAAATATCAAAAAGAATAAAATTAGAATACCTCGTAGGTAAAAAAAGAATTTGGTGACATTGATGAACACCCTTCAGTCTCCTCCCCTCAGTGTTGACATTTTAACCATACAAGTAGAAAGCTTGAAACAACATTAATCAACAATTTTATGTTTTTCACATACTTACCGTGAACCTTGGGAAACGGGCGTGACTGACTTGCGTTGATTGCGTTTCACCGTATTGTATGACTTCCTATCAATCACTTGTTCATCTGGCACGAACTTGGTTATAAAGCTGGAATATTGTTGACAGGAGCGAAAAATAGCAAATCAACAAGTGACAGATAGAAAGTATCAGGCGGCATACTTACAAAGCTGTCTGTGGAAAGTTATCGTAGCATCTTAGCTGAGCGTATTCTCGCAGCTGTCTTAGGGCTGAGGTATCCAAATTTATGACAATAACTAAGACAGGGTAGGACCTGTCCTACGGGCAAGGTGACGGGCAACTGAAGGCATACTGAAGAAACAGATTCATACCGGAAACTTCGTCTGATTTTAAATGATTCCCGGATTGAAAGTTACGAAAAATCAAACTAATGCAACCCCAGTTGCACTTGCTAGTGACCATTCTCTATTTTCAAATAGCTTTGTGCACAATAATTTCCTTTTCCTATTAAAAATCCTTACTGTATTGGTAAATGAAAGGTATATAAAGGAAGCTGATCTCACACTCGACGCCGTGGCGCTAATGGTGCCACAGCATAAGAAACACTGAACTAAACAAAAGTAGGTGTTTTTCAGGGATAATTAACAAAAGCTGGAACACGCGTAAGATGCTTAAGATGTTACTCCCCATGTATCTGTACAGATAATGAACTTAAACTTAGTCACATGAAAATAGGACATTTTTCATGAAGTGTGCATAGTAGAAAACTGTTCAATGAAATGAATGATTGCAATACATTTATTGGAATATCAATGTACTTAATCCAATTACGATTCCCCGTTGGAGAACATCTTCAATACTTCACATGTATTGTACACACAAGGTTCTTCCATCACCAAGGTATACACATAATCACTTTTGCGTTGTAATTGACGTTGTTTTTAGAAATGAATAAAGACAAAGTAAGGATACGATTTATTGATGAACAGCTTCTTTATTAAAATTAAGCACGACGTTTTGGTGTAGGTTCTAACACCGTTATCAAGCAAGTGATTGGAACCTACACTGAAACGTCTTGCTGAATTGTAATAAAGAAATTGTTCATCCATAAATCTTATCCTTACTTAGTACTCCAACTTCTAAATGCCTATCAAAGAAGAATAAAGACAAGACCAGGTTCTAGAGGGAGGGACACCAGCGAGTGCTCAGACGAATGGGAGGCTCAACTTACATTGCACAAACGACAATATTTCTCATGCAAAGCATTGCGTCAGTCAACTCTACACATTTCTCAGTGTCAGACAAGGGTAAGGGTTCGTACAGAGTCCGTGCACAGGATAAGGGTCATTTGACTTTCTCGCTGTGCAGAGATGTATCCCCTGGGAACGCCAGAAACCGGGTTCGAATCCCGGTTCGCCCTGATTATGTTTCTAGGTTTGTCAGCACCATACCCATGCTCGGGGGTTTCACCGAAAAGGTAAACGTTTGTAACCTGCAACACTCCGGGTTTCCCCCCACTTTAAGCTGACATACTGCGATATAACTGGATTACTGTTAAATGTGTCGTTAACCCCAACTCACTCACTCACTCACTAATTTGACTTTCATCAGTTCAAAACCTCCTCTTGTCATCAGATGACTAAAATAAATACATCCTGAGCTCGACTACACCTACAAAGTGCTCGTATGTATCCAAGGATGTGTACAAAACTTGTGAAGTATTGACAATGGTGGGACATGTGCCTCGACTTATCCTTAAACGTCAGTCGATCAATCCACGGACACCAGGAACCCACCAAAAGATGATGCTGGTGAACTTCGATCGATTTTGATTGACTGGGTTGTCTCCACCCACACCTGTTCACCCTTGAGGATGGGGGCAACGGAAAATGCAGCCGAGTGGTCGCTGCCCGTCTTTGCTGTCCCGAACCCGATTATGGTGGAGCCAGTTTTCATTATATGGATGTACGTGCCGAATGGGTTGGACACCTTCAATGCTAGATTTGTGTAGAACATGTAGGTTCCAGAGACTGGCGCGGTGAACTTCCCTGTGTTCTCGTCATAGCAGGAGTCTACATTGTAGACAGTGAAGTCAAAGATAAGCGGGGGTCCGATGGCTGTGTCAGGTGGACTCTCTGTGCGGAAGGCAACAGTTCTTGTCTTTGACGCTGCATGGATTGAAAGCAACACTTACCAATGGACAAACTAAACATCATGATATAATACGACTTCGTCATATATTTATGCACAATTGCGGCCTGTTCTCAACGAACAATGTATGCATTTATCGAATCTAAAGACCGTTATAAAGGAGGCTTCATCTGCATAATGTTTTCCTGGGTGGTGGGAGAAACGTGGGAGAAAAGTCATTGAAGCTACTAGTCATTCCGGATGTATTTGAAATGGCACGCGAAAGTCGATTCTAGTACTGGTGATATCATCGTTTGTTGCAATCGTGGAGGAACAGCAATTGATTGGTTAACAATGTTTTACTTGACTGGCAAACATGTAAAAACACCATACGGTCGGCAGTCGAATTGGAATTAAAATTGCAAAAGTGCTGGTTGTAGTTAAAGTACATTAAACGATTAAAAAAGCAAGCAGCCTTATTGCCATCATACTCTATCAGCCCATTTACTTTACGGACCTCGAAAATTGCCCTATGCCCGAGACACTATTATTTGTTTATTGAAAAAGATTCGACTGGAACCAAAGGACATGCCTGTGCTCATAATGCTCAGTTTCGTCCACATTTGTGAAAGTTAGGCTCAGTGGATCTGGAAACTAACTCATTAACATATAAACGCCTTAAAGTGAATGTGTTTACAACCAAACAGATTGTTACACATGAACCGTCATTAAGTGCAGATTGTTGCCTGAGTATTAAGATACAGGTAGGGAATTCAATATGCTACCAGGTGTTTCCTGTTGTGTTTGAGACGGAAAACAACGAGACGAACCGGATATATATTGACTCTTGTTTCAGTTTTACAACAGTGAATTTATGTCACAGTATTTCTCTCATAAGTGGATGTAGTAAGTGAAGTAGGTTTTAAGTAGTGGCATATAGTAATGGGACATAACTAGGGCGAAACTGAGATTCAAACTCACAATAGAACCTCAGCAAGGACGCAACCTGATTCTGCAAATTGACGCGACTTATATAACTAGGTCACCAGTAGACGGTAGTGAAGACAGGCGGAAGTGAAGCCCGAAAGCATAATGCGGGAGGAAACCCAAAGTGATGCAGGTATCATATGTTTGGCCCTGGTATTTTGGCAACCTGAGGGTCAAAATTGGTCAAAAGGATTATGCTCAACCATTTTCGAAAGAATGATTTAGTAGAGAGTCATCATACTGACATTACTTAATATTATGTAAGTATTTTGTCAAGAGATTATGATTATTCGTATTCATCGTCAAAAAGCGACCTAGGCATTAATAAAATTGACAGATGGGGGCGCTTAGTGAAGTCAACCAGGAAGTTAAATTTGTTGTCGGAGAAGGAGCGGTAGTGAACAACCATAGTTCAAACGTAGACTGAACTCAGAACTGTTTCGATAATAGTTAAGTCAATACAAACATGCTGCACAATAATACCTATGGCCAGTTTACTATATTTTGGTCAGGGTGCCAAGCCAATCATTTCCTGCTTTAAGTTGATTGATAGGGTAGTTGTTGGGCCTTTGCTAGTTCGGGTGATTATAGTTGTTAAGAAGTGTAGAGAGGTAAATAGTTGAATATTCCTGATTAAAAAAAATATTTGTTCACTATCTTTGTTGATGATACTTTACACTTCAGTTATGCCGATGGCAGCTAATAATAGTTCAAAATGCCATTGCCATGTTGTCACAAGCAAAGAACTGATAGTTCGAGCAATTGTTACAATAACATACACCCCTAATTGTGCCTATCAACATTCTCTTTTGAAGCTTGAAAAGGGATCACAGCAATCGTGCAAGCTGAAGTAATATCACGCTGAAAATACACGACTTACCAACATCAATCATCATCTTGTATGACTTGTGACAGCGACTTGGTGTTGCCCAGAGACTGCTTCTGTACACTAGACATGTCACGTTGCAAACCTGCCACTTCTGAGCTTGTGAAACTGATATTATACTGTGCTGTGTGTAGATTATCCTTGACTGTCTGAAGACCTTGTTGAACATTGCGCATATCAACGGTTGTTTGGTTCATTTCTGTCCCAAGTCTTTCCAGCTGTTTTGACGCATTTTGTAACACTTCTTTTGTGGACACCATGTCCGTGATCTCAACCAGCAACTGGTTTGTAATGATTTTGATGGACGATGACGTATTTCGGATGAAACCCTCTTCTTCATTCTTGACATCATACAGTGTAGAGTTTACTCGATGCAGCTGTTTATCTAACGCCGAAACATCTGATTGTACTACATTTACCTGCACGGAGTTCTGCTTGATATTGCGACTCATAGAGTCCATCGTGAGGTTCAACAGAAAGTTAGCATTAAGTTTATCCAGTTTCAAGTCTCTCAGTTCAGACTTCACCTGGTTCAACTCATTCGAAGACAACTTCAGTTCAGCCTTCAGCATTGCCATCTCAGACTTCAGAGAGGTAATTTCAGCACTGGCCAATTGTTGTAGGGATTGGCTTGTTTGTAAGTCTGTTTGGGTGTTCTGTAGAACTGTTTTTGTGGTTTGCAGCTCTGTTTTTGTACTCTGTAGATCTTGTTTTGTTACCTGTAGATCTGTTTGCAGCTTCCCTGTGGTTGTCTTAAAGCTAGTCATGGACTGTTCAAGCAATACGACGTGACTCAGTACACTGGAGAGATCAGCACTGCCATCTGGCTTTGTCATGGGTAAAATTAGTCCTGAGACAGAGCAATATAGCAAAATACATAGGAATAAGGTCTGCATTGTAGCTTGTGTCATTGTAAGAGACTGCTCAACATAGAGGCATTTCGCACTTTTATCTTGAATTTCAAGATAATGTAACACGGACACTCCTTTGGCACAAATACGAGGCCAAGAATAGTCCATATTTCATGTTTCCATTATCTATTGCAAAAGCAAAACTCTGACATTTGCTGAATGTATGTGCGAGATTATTCCATTTATTGTGACAATGAAGATGATGACCCAGCCAGCAGAAATAGATGCCGAATTATAAGTAGTATCATTATCGTAAGAATCAGCTATGTGGTAGCCCAGCTTTACAAGTCATGTCTTGCAACATCATATTTTTCATATGTTCTTATCAGAATCGGTCGTGTGGGTGGGTGCCACGCACAGATATCGTAGATGCGTAGACGTTGTCGGACTGTCCTTGTCGATATGTATCAATGGATTCTAAGGGCTGTGAGAATTGCTCTCCTGAGCTTGTCTTGTCGAGGGGTTGACATGGGTGGACGGCCACTACAGGGGCGGTCTCTGACGTGGTTTTCCTGTTGATAACGTCCCATATGGTGTACCTGTGGACGTTGAATTGAAGTGTGGCGTTGCGCTGCGTGGAACATGATGCACTCATTTCTATGTCATTTAAGCTTAGGTGTGAATGGAGAGGAATCTCACCCACACATTCAAAAGTAGTATATTTATGCACTTTCAAAGCTGCTAATGCCTGGTGTCATCGCTGGTTTTCAGTGATCTATACAATTTTCGCAGCTAATATGTCTGTCATGCCCTATGGATTGATTGTATTCTTTGATGTTGAGGTGGTGTTTTTGTTTTTGTTTTGTTTTGTTTTTTATATTAGAGAGGTACTGATTTTAGTTTGGTTATCTGACCTGATTCAGAGAACATTTAATACAATTGTCTACGGATATTCATTGTTTCCTACAAAAAAAAACATGAAATACCGCCAACATTTCTTTGGATGTGTTTCATCTAACTTATTTAGAAACATTTTTCATGGTTCATGAGTGTAAAGAATCCACATCACAATATCTTTTGATTTTTGTATAATATATTTATCAGACGAAAACACGTACTCCGCATCCCTATTTATATACCTATGTATTATATATATACATATATAAATACATGGTGAAGATGGAATCCATATGAGACAAGTGAGTGACAAAGTTGGGGTACAAGCATTGTTAATGTTTTTAAACACTTAAATCCAAGCAGATACATTTCAAAGCAGTCGAAAGGAAACATAGCCCAAACTGCTGAAGAACTTAAATATTTGTGGTAGCGTGAACTCTTAAACATAAGTGAGAAATATCTTTTTTATCGCTCGGCACCATCTGTTGTGTCTCAGACTGTCCTAAATTTTCACTGAACCTAAATTTATGATACTGGGTTAAGGCGTAAATACTCAACACGTAAATAAAAAGTGTCTGCAAGATTGAAGAATAGCAGAGATAATAGTCTCTCCTGGTGATAATATATCATCATAGAATACCCAATTATGACAACGCTAAAGGTAAAAGTTTGGGTGACGGAAGATGGCAACTTAGTTGGCTGATGAAAAGACATTTACAACCTTCAAATACATTTATGTTTACCATGTGAAAACAGGCCTTGGAGAAATACAAGCACCACCACACAGAATCAGATTGTTCCAGTCTCATCGGCACCGCCTTCGCAAGAAACCCTCCTCAGTGTGTACTTGATTTAGTAGAAGATGACTTCGGACATACATATGAAGAGGACATTGACTGTTTTCCTGCCAGAAAATAAAAATGAAACACTCGAAAGAAAACTGAACAGAATTTAAAAAGAATCAAAACGTACCTGTCTGTCTTTTTGTACAAATTCCTGATAGGTGTTAGGAAGGTCGTCGGGTCGGAATATGAATGGCAATGCAACAGTGGATTTCGATTAAGTATTGACAGGGCGCTCAACTAGCCTGACTATGGCTGCACATAGTAGGATTCACATCAATTTGTCAAATTCTGTGAAATTAGTAAATCCAATACCAAGTCCCTGACTTTCTAGAAAAAGGAATCCTGATTGGACTTATCCAATAACTCCCAATGAAACCCAGAAACTAAGAGTTGTTAGCCAACTTGGTTTCAAGACATTCTGAAAACTTTATGGCGGAACAAGATTGTTTATTTTTAATACTCCAACCCATTGAATCACAAAGGCAAATGAATAGGGGTGATGTTACTGTTGAACACAACTTTCAAAAAGAGAATATCTGGAGTACGTCAGAAGACAGACAACATAACGTACAGCACGCCATCACCAAAAGCATTGGCCTTGAAATGTTTCCTGTCAGTCTGTGCAAGGTCTAGAGGGATTTGTGGCCTCAACCCGTTTTAATCATGACGACACTTTCTATCTTGCCATATATACCACAAGCTATCCTTAACTCTGCGATGCATGGTTCAAAGGACAGCCTGTAGGCAAAAAGAATTTTGGCTTCTGAAGAAAAACATGGTCGGTGAGGCAAACATCACCACAAGCCAGCGGCTGACGAACCAGAATGCCAGGAACCATATGATCCAGTCGTTGTCACACCAAATAACGCAATAATACGGACTTAGAACTATCCATATCCTCAATTTGTATTCACAAATCACTGATCTGACATGCTACATAATCCTCAAGTCATCTGACATGTAGTTCATTTCCGCCACATCCTCGCACACTCATGGTGTTTCTATGACAAGGGGGGCATCATCGACTTTGATAGTCAGTGTTTGTGAGTCTGTTCAGGGTGGAGCATTCCACGTTCATATTAACAACGCCACTTCTGCTCCGCCAATCACTGCCACCCGATCCCACAAGTCGCCTCCTACAACAAACATGATAGTCATAATCAATTGATAAAATGATGGGTGCAGTTTCATAAAATGCTTTGGTGATGGGTAAAAGTAAAAACAGTGGGATAATGATACTCACATGATGGGATGTCTGATTTGATGAGTGCTGTTGGAGCTTCTAAATACAAGGCAACAGTTAGGGTACGCAGTTTACAAAACATCTTTTGCATAGCTGTTACTGAACGGCAGACATGACACAACACCAATCAATACATCATGTTAAATGTTGAGTTATTTGACCATCCAAAATTATTTTTCAGGATTTGAAATACGGATTAACAATTTTTAACACTATTAGCAATTCGTGTCAGTCTAAGATGAACTGTACATGTATGATCATTTCCAACAATTATATCAAATTTATGATTAAAAAGATGCACCATAGGAATAATGACTTTAACTTAGCCAGGATACGTAGTATCAAGAAATACTGAAGTAATAGCATTGTGCTCAAAGAAGTGCTGAAAAACTGCTATGTTGATAGGATGGAGATATGTTAAATTATTTGGTGTTGCATTGAGGTATCTATCTATGCATGCTGACAAAAAGAGAGTTTGAGTACTGAGAGAACGGGGGCGTGGTAGGACGGGAACAAAGGGAATAATCGAGACTGGGTCACAGAGATAGCTATGTCCCACTCCATCAGGTTATGACGACACGCGATGAACCAAGTCACCGTGCCTCACAACCGGATACCGTCTTGTTGCCCTTCACGACAAGCGATAGTGTGTTGTGGACCGTTTGTAACCAACGAGCCCCTCGGTGGCTTGACAAGCAGTACATTACATGACTTCTCTATAGACAAATCTGATATTCCATTGAAGCATGTCTTGCCCATTTTGTGAAAAAGATTTACCAGGATGACTTGCTGACAAAAAGCTAAAACTGATTTGCACATGCTTCTAAACCTCGAAATGGTTTATATGATGATATATTATCTGAAGGATCAATTAAGAACTAAAATAAGTGTGTATAATCGATGGAGCGCGATTACAGGACTGAAGGCGTTACAAGAGAAAACCGATGAGGATTTGAGTTTGGTGGTAAAAGTATCCCCTGGCTGATTGTTAGTCATCAAGACCAAGCACTGGCTACAATGCATGTGTACGAAATCGTAGCTATGTAACTTGTCATCCGTCATCTACTAATAACAATTGGATAGGTAAATATTTTCGCAAAATCAAGAATTTGTCACTTGTTAGTCGAAATAACGTGTTAAAAACAGGCATTACGAAAGATATGAATGGCAGAAAGTTTATATTACATAAAATTCGTATCCCATGATGTTAATGTTACAGAATAATATGTCATACCATAGCCTCCCTTTTATCCTAATGAACACATGTCTCGTGCATGAAAATTATCTAAGGGAACAGGCACATTGACATCATCATATATAAGGGTATAAACAGCGCATGTCTGTGCCGACTTAGTATAATCAAATCTAAATATGGCATTTACATGCAACACCCGAGTTACGGCTGAACAAATGATCAAAAGATAATGACCTGATCTAAAGATAGTTGGGGCGACTATATAATAAAACATGATGACCAAATTGCCCATATACGAAACGGTGTATCCTGGCAAAAAGATGCACTTCTTCATCTCGTTTGTGCTGATCTACGCAGGTAAATATATTGGTCATGTTCTGCCCGCTTCCATACATGTTGCAATTTTTAGGCCTTAGGTTTGATTGATACATAAGCTAAACTGTGGCTCTTTACTGTATATTGCTAAAATGTATTTTTTCAAATTAGGGTGTGTGTCTTGGTTGTTTAACATCGAATACAGCAATATTCCAGCTATATGACGGTGGTCTATATGAATAATCCAGTTTGAATAAAAAAAATCAATTGATTATTATTGTAAGTTGACCGGCTATCAACCAAGTCAGCGACCCTCATCAATCAATCCTCCTTACGGTGCGGGGACCGCTTCGTGCCGAAATGTCCACTATGCGGATGTATAGCCAATATCAGGAATATCAATGCAACTTGTCATTTGGTTTATTTGTTTGATGTTCAACGCAAGACTCAGCAGTATTCTAGCTATATGACGACGGCCCGAGAAGTAATCGAGTCTGGACCAGACCACCCAGTGATTGCTATTGCGAGCAACAATCCATGCAATCGGGGTACTATTAGGTCTTATGATCGGTGTGCGTTGCAATTGCTGGGACCCCTTGTATTCTGGAATCACTGGCATACTGTGGCGTCATATCTTCTACGTCACAGTGCTTGACCATCCTTTTCCACAGAACTTCTAAAGGTTTCAATTGTCTGAATATTTATTATATTTATTTGAAGCTTATTTTTTTAATTCAACAGTGTTATGATAATAATATGGTTTGATTATTTCGAATTAAACATTGGCAGATTAAAATACTATCGACATTCCAGCTTGTGAAAGAGATTAACTGATTTTCCAACTTTGTGACTTCTTCAGATACTCGAATGACAATAAAAGGCATTGGATCTACGTTTAGAGGCTCTGAATACCCGTGAATATCCGGGGTAGAATAGGTCTTCAGCAACCCATGCCTGCTGTAAAAGACGAAAATGCTTGTCGTAAGAGGCGACCAACGGGATCGGGTGGTCAGACTCACTGACTTGGTTGATGCATGTCACCGTGTCCCAATTGCGACGATCGATGTTCACGATGTCAATAATTGGATTGTCTGGCTCAGACTCAATTGTTTACAGACCGCCTTCATATAACTCGTCTTTTGCCTCGTGAGACAACAACAACAAACCTAGATAACGTTAATCATTTCGCTCAAGAGAAAGTATCTGACAAGTTATCATCCATACAGATATTTTGATATTTCAAAGTAAATAAAGCTCATATTAGCGCTTAACAATGCATGCCTTTGGATATATTTGCATTTTATTATCTATTATCATAGAAGCCTGTATATTTGAAATAGGCACGTCTAGACAGGTAAACGTCGTGTAAACAAAACCTCTTTGACATATCCCTGATTTTAAAATAATACGAAGACATGAATGACATGGGAAACACGTTTCTGCATTGTCTTTAATTGAGTTTGTGTTATCTCAATAACGTTTTAAACATTGCTTATTGACTGAAACGAAACTATATATTTAATATTAAAATGAATATATATTGTTTTGAAATTGGTAGCTATTTCAGTTATTTGAAAATATTCATCACCTTTTAGTGCATATCAAAATGGATATTAAAGTGAATTGAATTTGGAAATATATCATCACAGATAAGTTGCATGAGTGTCAACAAAAACAGGTGCGTGGATTGAATCTTTCAATGTGCATCTGCATAAACAACATTTCACACGCCATTGACTTAGTAATGTCGACATGATGACGATTTATTAGATGATCAAATATTGCCATATATGACTGATTTAAGTACTCGCGAGTATTTTAAGTGGTTCAATCCTTAAGCGCATTCTGATTGGTTTGTCGAATTTTCACACACAATATTGGTCAGAGGGAGGATTTTCTTGCAGGTTAAAGGATCGTGTGGTGTTGTATGTGCAAAATCAATGTGGTCAAGCAGAAATAATTAAGTGAGATACTTTAATCGCAATATGGATATATGTATGCAAGGAGAATCAAGAGTATACTGACTTTTGTTCATTGTTTGTTCACAGTCAAAGTTTATTGGTTGAGTGAGTTACAAGGTCAAGTCCACAATATTAAAACCGTCCCTTAAATAGGCATCCACAACCTATTAAACGTTCATCTGTTAGTTATTACCATTTTCGTTTGCTTGTTTGTTTATAAAGCCGCAGACGTATTACAGCTACAGGACGGCGGTCTGACAATAACCAAGTCTGGACCAGACTTTCCAATTAATGACATCATGAGCTTCTATCCAAGACATTCGAAACGATGACATGATGACATATGTTTCGAGTTTCCGTGGTAACAATGAGTGAGTGAGTATGGTTTTACGCCGCTTTTAGCAATATTCCAGCAATATCACGTCGGGGGACACCAGAAATGGGCTTCACACATTGTACCCATGTCGGAAATCCACCCCGGGCCTTCGGCGTGACGAGCGAACGCTTTAACCACCAGGCTACTCGACCGCCCCTTCCGTGGTAACAAGTTTCATATATTTATCCACAAGTATTACCACTTCGTGGGATAATGAAGCCTTTTCATCATAATAACCATAGCTTTAGGCGTCATGTCGAGCCCGGTGTATTCAGTGTGCGTGCATAGGCACCGTTGTTTACGCAGTTTATTCAAACTTTGCAATGTCATGAGTGAATGTTAAAGTCACATCGGCAATATTTCTTCCATATCGTGACTAGTGGAAATTAAGCATACATATTATGCACAGTAAACTTGTCGTCGAAGGACAGTATAACAGCCAGTACTATATCAAGTGCGTATGAACTGGAATACCTTTTGAAGAATACATGCCGGTTTATCTGTGTACATCGAACACCGTGAAAGGAATAGTAGAGAGATAGTTGAGTTGATAGTATTTGTAATTTCAATGCGTTTTGTACCAATATTGACAGCAAGCATGCAAATCTAAAGCTGTTTGATGTCAAACCATAATTGCATGTGTTGGGGTAGTTAGAGATGGCACCTATCCATCTGAATATACACCATTAACATGATAATAAGAAATTTGATTAGAGATCTGATCATGAATGTTGTATAGATCCTGTTAGAGAAACGTTTGCAGTTTAGTTTAAGACGTTTCATTTTTTCGGAAATATTGACTTTTTCGTTAGTGTATTGTTGTAAAGTTATTGTTAGGTTTTTTTACAATACGACGGCGGCCTGTAAATAATCGCTTCAGGACCAGATAATCCAGTGATTTATATAATGAGCATCGATCCACACAATTGGGATCGATGACATGCTTCAACCAAGTCAACGAGCCTGACCACCCGATCCCGTTAGTCACCTCTTACGGCAAACATGGTCGCCTTTTACGGCAAGCATGGGCTGCTGAAGAACTATTCTACCCCAGAGCGTCATGGGTCTAATGTATAGAGTGATCTCAATAGTGTCCAACGCAATTCCCTATTTTGACTTGTACTATAAATTCCCGTGTTTGTTCAGGCGAACACTTGATCACGATCGTGTGGACAGGATGCACTCAACTCAGGAACACCTGGTATCAACACTAATTGATCGGAATTCACAGACAAATGCTTTTGATCTTATGGAATAGATGAAAAGGTTCTGCTTTTATCACATATTTCTCATTTACAAAAAAAGTAATGGTTTTATCACATTTTTCTGTCCAAAAGTTTAAATATTAAGGAGGTTTGATAACAGTTGGTTGATCCGCGTATGCGAGTGAGTACAAAACTATAACGGAATGGCCATTGCTTCATAAACATATACACTCCGAGTTCATAACCAGTATATTCACATTATGTTTGTTACATCCACTCGTGTACATCAATATATCATTAACGACATTTAAGTGCATCCTGGTTTGGAATACCACATACTTCTTTCAGGTAATCCATTGTTTGGTGACATATTCCAAAGTCCTTTTTCATAACTGGTATATTCACGATGTGTTTGTTAAAACTTTCTTATATATCAATGTAATAATATTCTTCCACACAATTCTTTCAGGTAATCCAATTTTCGGTGACATGTTCCAAAGTAAAGTCCCAGTTTACAACCAGTATATTCACGATGTGTTTGTTACAAACGTTCCTATATATATCAATGTAATACTATTCTTACACATACTTCTTTCAGGTAATCCAATTTCCGGTGACATGTTCCAAAGTCCTTGTTCATAACTAGTATATTCACGATGTGTTTGTTAAAACTTTCTTATATATCAATGTAATAATATATATTCTTCCACACAATTCTTTCAGGTAATCCAATTTTCGGTGACATGTTCCAAAGTAAAGTCCCAGTTTACAACCAGTATATTCACGATGTGTTTGTTACAAACGTTCCTATATATATCAATGTAATAATATTCTTACACATACTTCTTTCAGGTAATCCAGTTTTCGATGACATGTTCCAAAGTCCTTGTTCATAACTGGTATATCCACGATGGGATACGATTATTACATGCATCAACCAAGTCACCCGGCCCAACTAACAGATCCCGTTAGTTGCTTCTTACCAAAAGCAAAGGTTGCTGAAGATAGTTATGTCCTAGTTCATAACCAGTATATTCTCGATGTGTTTTTAACAAATTTTCTGATATATCAATGTAATAATATTCTTCCACATACTTCTTTCAGGTAATCGAATCTCAGCAGAAATGTTCCAAACTTCAAGAACTGACAGCATTTCAAATCTGACAAAGGTGGATGGGCAGACGGTGTTCAGCTCGAATTTCCTGCTGTTTGACGTGAAGAGTTGCAATAAAGTGCAGTTCGTCGTTAACTTCGACAACGGCATGGCAAGGATGGACATTTATCCGAACAGGAGTTTGCAGGTGCAGTACTGTTACAAGGGCCTTGATTGTACCGTGGAGATGTTTACAGTAACCGGTGACACGTGCGACGGCTATACACCGTTGTGGGTGCAGGTGCAGTTTTATGGCGTGGTTATCGGCGAAGGTTGTGACGTTGAAGAATCCCAACTTTCCTCTTCACCATGGCTGATGTTGTTGTATGGAAACACAAGCATCGGAATCTCTTCTGCAGATGATGCTTGGTGGAGACTGGGTAAAAAAACTCTCCTTTTTGCAGAACAAATAACACAGTAGGGCAAATTACTGAGTCAAAATGAACTTAGTTCATCCATGGTACTTAAGAACAAACCACTTAATCCTGATGTATAATGTCAGATATTGTACAATTTACAATAAAATTAAATCACTTGAACAACACATGGATAGGGAAAAGTGTTTCCCAAAAAAACTGTGGCTCTTTGTAACCAGCTTGTGTGCTTATGTTGTTAAAAGCCGCACTACATAGTATTCTAGCAATTTATATCATATAAACGACAAACCAGTGATTGATAGTATGAGCAACAAACCTCTCAGTCGGTATAGACAATACACGTAGCTACATAACCGAGTCTGACAACCCAATATATTCAGTCACTTTTCCAAATAAAAGAAATACTTGATGGTGGAAAGGTCCAGGATATTTCTCATAATAGAATGTAGACTTAAATTACCGAATAATCGAGGATTAACAATATCAAGAAACCAAGGGAGATAAAAAGATATCAGCTATAAACAACATCAGTCCAAGTAACGAAGTTTCATGCGTTTTAATGCTGGTTGACCACAGGCGAGTCTGCGTGTAAACCTGTGACCACACCAGCGACGACCACCACCTTAACAACACATTCTACAACAACGCCTGCGACGACATCCGAAGCACCAGGGTCTTTGGTGATTGATACAACGAAGAATGAAACCATGCATAACAACGTGAACATGGGGCGATCTGGCGGCGCTGTCTGCAACAACTCCCTGGCTGTGATGACCATGGCTGCTACGTATGTATTGTGCTGTCGAGTTCCATGCAGAGTGAATCAGGCACCATGGCCATGTTCAAGACTGAAACTAAATGATACTGAAAGTATTTGTAAACAGTAAGTAAGTTCAACCTTAGTCACGTCGGAAACCTTTAAATAGAGCCCCTGGGAATGTAGTCAGCAATTTACAGTCAACAATGAGAGACACTTAACAAACAATTCTGCATCATTGATATTCATTCAAATAGTCGCTGCCTAACTAAAACCTACTTACACAGGAAAAAGGTTTTTAAAAAAAGCAAAACAACTTCAAAATTTAAGTTATTGTTGAAACAGGTATTGAATCTTAATACTAACAAAACGTATACCAAATTGTATTTTGATTGGCTGGCACGGCTGCCGCATTCGGAGCCCATCATTGGTGGGAACATATGAAATTTCTGCTCCATTAAACAACAATGAAACACATACATAATCGAGCGATGTTGTTCATGCTGATGGATTCAAATTCCAGACTTGCCGTGAATATGGTAGTTGCTGTAACAGAATCATACATATAAGGGTAAACATCTAAGATCTGCATCTTTTCGGGCTTTCCTCCCAAAGTAAGCTGAGAGCACATGATACAACTGCAATACTGAAATAGTGATAAAAACGGCGTTAAACTCACTCTCTTCTGGGTTCACAGTCCATATATTGGCTAGCCACTACTCTGATATTGCGTATTCCAGGAATAGCTTGTGAGCCTGATGTGGAAGAAAGGCCCGATATAATGCAGGTCACTGACGTTTATCACTTTGCTGAAACACATGAGCACGGGGATGGTGCAGACAAACCTAGAAACACAATCGGGTTGAACCAGGATTTGAACCCCAAAACGGGGTTTCTGGCGTGCCAAAGGGACGCCACCTTGCACAGCGAACTGCGGCCAGGCGTGCCCCCTTATCTTGAGAAAAAGGGAGCACAATGAAAAACAGCGTCAATTTTGTTACAATAATGAGGTAACATCATGTAATTTAAATGTATCTTTTATACCGTAAAACATGCAATGCTATATCTGCGTATATTCCTTTTCAGGTGGATGTTCTTTTTGAAGTACTAATGAAACATACAGCTAGAGCCGATCCACCTGTCGATGCATTTTGTCATTGTTGTCTCATAATGAATTAAAATCTGCCCCGAAAATATGACTTATTTTTAGAGGACTTGTGAGAAAACTGGCAACTTTGAACATGCCATAAAAGGTGGGATGCATTTCTTTCAGTGAGTGAGAGAATGAGTATATATTTATTCCACCCACCGTGAAGATCCGGGGTAGAATAGGTCTTCAGCAACCAATGCTTGCCTTAAAAGGCGACTATGCTTGTCGTAAAAGGCGACTAACGGGATAGTGTGGTCAGGCTCGCTCACGTCTGTCCAATTCATACCATAGGTGCTCTATCAGGTTCAAACCCGGGGATCTGGCGGGCCAGGGGAGAACATCAACGTTGGGCGTTGTCCTGCTGGAATACACCGTTGCCGTTGGCTGTAATAGTGAGGACGTGTGTGTAGGAGAATTTCGTTGATGTATTGTTGAACCGTAAGATTGCCCTTGATATGGACCAAACCTGAACTGCCATAGTGAGAGATACCGCCCACATCATAACGCTACCCCCAACCAAACCTGTACGCAGTTTCCACCGTAACGTTCTCCCCGATGTCTTTAGACCAGTGCTCTTCCATCCCCTCGACGCAGGAGAAATATTGATTCGAGCTCCGTCGCAGTTGAGGCCATATCCTGTGTTAACTACACCAATGCAGTCGTTGTTGATGATGTTGCCGACTCAGTTGATGTGTCGAATAGGACGTCTTGCTCGTAGACATGCTGCTCTTAAACGGTTTCGTGCGGTCTGGTCGTAGATTCAGCGCAGTCCGGGTATTTGGGATGCGGTTTAGGTGGGTCTGGTCCTTTCACGTAGGTCGCGCAGTCGGATGGCGCGATCTTTGGCGGGTGTGGTTACTCTTGGTCGACCCGACATCGGCCGATCACGTATTGACCCATGCGGTGGAAACTGATCCCGTGGCAGGCAATCAAAAACACTGCACTTTAATACAGTTCATAGTGCTGCTGCACGTGCTTCATAGCCCTTTTGTTAATGCATTGGAAGCATTTTCCCGACTACTGGTTTGTATGTACTTGTTGTGATCATTTTGATCCGTCACTTTAACACATTAAACCTCTTCATTTTTCACCTCCTTTTTTTTGGTGCCCTAAGTTTTGCTGATTAATTTTGCTTTTATGGCCAAAAATATCCATATTGCGTTTCCTTTTTTGAGTTCATATTTGCGGATAAAACAGACGTGATCATGTGTTACTTATGGCGCTGGGTGGTGGTTTTGGTTAATGATATATGTGCCGAAATAAACATGAGTTGCTGTGTTTGGTAATGCCTTCACTCAAACACCTTTCTCTTTAAAAACACAATTTCAACACAACAGTTTAAATACGCAATGTTTCGTTGTGGTATGGTGGTTGATGCCATGCAAACTGATGACCTTCTCGTGATGTGTGAGTAATTAAGTTCATAGTCACGTGTTAGACTGAACCTTAAGCCAGTATGATCATTTAAAGTGCAGTGTTGCAGGTCATATGGTAATTTGTGAGAGTCTGAAATATGACATAAATGCAACCAAGCCTTGACAACAGATGGTGGTGAACGATAAATATCACATTTCTCGTACAACGTTTCTAGTTCACAAATACATGTTAACCCCGACATGCTAAAAACCAGGGAATGGAGTTTATTGTGTCATATATTAGGAATAATATTGTAATATGCGACCCTTTTATTGCAGCACTTTGACCTTGCTCGTGCGTTAAAATACTATCTACAGCCAACCTAACTTTCAGAATTCGCCCTGCATTTATCTGACACGTAGCCACAGAACCGACTGCTGACCGTTATTTCCGATTGATCTTGTAGTGCCAGCCTGATGTGTGATCTTGAGACATTTACCTCTATGGTGAAACCTTTGAGCATTGACATGGTGGCGACAAACCTAAAATCACGGAAGAATTCAGAATTTAAACTGATGATTAAAGGTATTCTGGCACGCCAAAGTGGACGCAGCTGAAAGGACTGGGGCAACAGTGTCCCCATTTGTCGTTGTAACTGTTGCTGATTATCATACGGGTGAAGTAAGACGAGTTCTATGGATGAACAACTTCTTTATTACAATAATAATTGTAATAAATTGTAATAAAGAAGTTGTTCATCCACAGAACTCGTCTTACTTCATCACACCAACTTCTAAATGCCACTGAAAGAAGTCATCATACGGGTGTTGTAACGGAATATATTCTTTCTCTCAAAAGTAATCTCCATTTTTCGGATCCGTGGAACCTCCTGTAGACTGGCACAATAGCTACACATACTGAACCTTCTGTACAAAATAGATCATGTGTCAGTAAACTGCTTCTTATTTATCTCTGTTAAATGGAGCAGATAGTGGAGATCTCTTTTGACAGGCCAGCAGTAATCATATAGAAGTCCTAAATGACAACATGATCGTTCAAACCAAAGAGGAATCTATCCAAGATGTCCGTTATTTTCTTGCAATAATGCGGTGTTAAATACGCCAGGCGAGTATACAAAGATCCCTGTGATGAAGTTGGAAACAGTGGCAGGAAACAGAACAACCCAGGCATACCCACCGTCAGTGTCCCTGTGGTGTCTTGTATCCATGTCAATGGTACCTCTTTGTTGGCGCTGCAAGTCACACCGAGGAAATACCACTGCTAACAGAGAGTGCACTAGAAATTCGTCATGTCAGCAATGTTTGCAGAATCCTATTGTGACCAGATACCAACCGGCGGGGACACCAGAAATTGGATGAACACCTTGTACCCATGTGGGGCATCGAACCCGGGCTTGCGTCGTGACGACTGAATGCTGCAGTAACCACTGTGCTAACCCACCGACCTTCATTTTTCCTGTATTCAGGCTGACGGACAAGGTTATGTGTATACACCTTCAACGCTATCTCCAAATTCTGTCCCCGTCATGTCGTATTCGACGTTTGATCGGGAATTCTTCAGGCACAGGCTGGTATTGCTGCTAAATCTACTGTAACTACTACTACAACAGCAACAGCAACAACAACTTCTTCTACTACTTTATGTCAAAGGTTCATTGCCGATAACCGGATTTCTCGTGTGATATTGTAATGCTGTAATGTATGATAAACAACTCCCCTTGGTCGCATATTTCTTGAATATACTGCAGATAATACATGCGACGTTAAGGGACGACTCATCAGTCTCCAAATACATATCATCAATAGGTGATATTCTGGAGACCCCAAGGCAGGTCTTGATGATGATTGGTATTAGCTTTTGTAAACTGCTTTTACAGGCCCCCACCATAAATGACGGAGTTAGAATTCAGTTTAGAGAGGATACAAAACGGTCTCAATAGTTTGAGGAAAGTTTTCTGATCCCTTTACTGACTTTTCTGAAATATTTATTGTGTTGCAGAAACGTCAAGTGCTGATACAACGTAATACCAAGTAATTTTACGTCTCTTACAATTGTCATAGGGGTCCAGGCATAATTCAGGGTCATTACAAGGTTGACACACAAGTGAATAAAGATGGTTTGGGGTTTTTAAAGAGAAAATACATGGATTGTCTTCAAATATACTTGTAGTTGTCGTTGGTGTACATTTCGTTATCATCCACACAATTTAGAATCACAAATAAAACTTTTTGTGGCGCACTACTTTCTCTGTGACGGCATAATTTAAACTGGTCAGTGCTAAGGGCTTCACGGTGTATCTATATCTAGGGAATCGAACCTTGCGATCATCTTAACTATCTGCTACGAGTTTGCCATGGACAGTTCATGCCATTCTTGGGAATTAGACCTTGGGAACACTTGCGCCAATGAACTACCAAACCCTCCAAAATAAGCAGGTGTGTTGACCAGCCATCTGGTATTCATGATATCAGTATTCACATTCGGTTTACTTTCAACGTGGTTTGGATCTTACCGAAAGTGTATGTAGTCATGCCAATTGTTATATACATACAGCTCCTCACCGTAATGGAAGTCTCTGACGGCGGGGAATTCGCCGACGCCGTTACCACCCCTTCACCTCCTGAAAGAAGCACGCCAGGGGTTTAATATCGCCGCGGTGAGGAGTCGCAGCTGTAAGGAAAAACGACACTTACATTAGAAGCTGTATTCTGGTGCATTTCTAAGGATAAAAGTGGGGTATATTGTCACAGTGTGGATCTGGTGGTCACAATGGCTACTGACTATGGTTAATGTGCAGCTAGGCAACTAACAGGGACGGCCAGCCCTTAATGGTCGTGTCGTGACCTGGGCGTTTGTTAAGCCTATTGATGAATGATTTTACGACTGCTTTTAAATCAAAAGGCCAGATGGTCCCACAATGGTCCCGTATCATGATACCTCTGAATTACTTGTTTCCATTATGTTTTAAATGTACATGTCATCAAATATATTATACACAATGACACTGACAAGATATGGTTAAAGAGAGTCGATATATCACTCTACCCTAGTCAATCATAAAGTGAATGGAAATGTTTGTTTGACGAATTGACTTTGCTGGTCTAAGGGAGACAACTCGATATTTCATATCATGCTCCACTTTGACCTTACACGTTTTACAGTTGTCTGACATTGAGACAGACGTTGACTGTCTCTGCCTTGTCACGTGTCCGAGTTACACAGTTTTACAGTTATCTGATATTGAGACAGACGTTGACTGAATAATTGGGAAGTAGTGTACTTTACCGGGCGCACTTTTTCAGATTGTATTATCGCTGTGGGGGTCTCGAACGCGCTTCGGCAGCTCACCAGCTTGGCTCATTGTTGCATTAATTAGCCGACGCTCTACCACTTGGACAAAGTAAGAGTCGTTAGAAACATCCAAAATATATTCTGGGGAATATATTAATACGGAATACTGTTAATAACATGAATTTTCAGAACTTGTAAGAGATATTAGTTTCTAATAATAGATGATAGTAATGAACTACTTGGGAAGCATTACATGCGGTAGTGAAGTATGACAGTAGATGTTATGACCGCTAACGATCTTTCAAGACGACAGGGGTGTTGCGCATACTGCGGGGAACTAAACGTGACTCTCTTGATATGAGGAACTATTTCAGATAATAAATTCGGGGAACTGAACGTGAATCGCTTCTTAAAAAGATTAAGAAATGTAGATATGACAAAATTAACTGATTCTCAAAATCTATTGCTATCGATCTATCAGTCTAGCCCTATTTTGGCTAGCATTGTTGCGTCCTGTTGCCACAGCCTCTCTGAACTATCACATCCTACAACGTCCTATCTTGACGAGTTATAGAACGAAATTGTTGATGTACGTCCTATCGCGACGACATATGCCAATCTCACGAATGTAGTTCCTATCGAGCCCAGATATCAAACCAAACTGAGCTCAACTCAAGTTTGATTTTCGTCGTTTTCACGTGCTCGGACAGCACGTGCCATGTCATATGTTGTTTTTTTCTCCAGCTGCCTGTTCAAGCTTAACATGTCTTCAAACCAAGGGGTAAGAAGGGAAAGTTAAAAGTTTCTTAGTTGAAGTTTTTGGATCAGTAGTTCGTAATACTGCCACAATTTGTCAAATAGTAATTCACTTTAACAGGCATACTGCGTGTTAGTGGCGATTTGAAGGAGTCTGTCTCACTCCCCTTGCATCGCCATGACATGTTCAGCCAACGAGATCAGCAGCCTATGACGTCGATGCGCACGTCTCCCTATCTTGCCCCAGACGTATTCAATCGGGGAAAGGCTTCGGCTCATTGCTGGCCATGGCATTCTATGTTAGTGCTGCAGGAGGTGAGCATTGATGATTCGTACACGGTGACCGCTGGCGTTGTCCTCTCGAAAGGCAAAACATCGACCCCCACGCCTTGGAAACGGGGTAATAAAGGGTGTCAGTGTGTTGTCCCGTTAGTACTGTCCAGAGACTCTTCCTTGCACAATAGATAGAGGGGTGCGGTCAGTCATAGTGATGGCACCCCGCACATCAATGGATTGCTCGAGAGGTTATTTCATATATACAGTTCATCATTTCCGTTAGAACTTCTGATATTATACAGCCAACTTTTTTTCTTTTAAATGCAGCTTTTATTTTGTGATGATATGAAATATCCAGGGCTCCGTTCCACAAAGCGATAGTAGCGCTAAGATTTCGTAAGTCTATGTTAATTGCTATTATCTTAGCACTACGATTGCATTGTGGAACAGGGCGCAGCCTGCCACTCTATTGTCGTCACACCATTGCATCCAGAGTACTAAAAACAACCTGATCACAGTTGTCATAAGGAATAACATCTTCAGAAATATTCCTTGATGCATTAAATATGACTTTTTACTATGTCAGAACACGGGACGTAATGCTATATGTTCATTTTCTATATTCAGCAAAACAATAATCCCATCAACGCATTTTAGGTGACTGCAACTAATTATCTGCAGAGGTCAGTAAAGCAAAACTGTTTACAAGTATATGGGATACCCTTACTTGTATCCAGATGTTTATTTGTGTGTTTGAGTGAGTTAAAGCTTTATTTTCTCTTTGAACAGTAGTTCAGTCATGTTATGACATAGAAACTCGGTACAGGTGAAAAACCCAACGTGATTTAACTGTTGTCAATTCTTAGTATTTCTACTGCTTACAATATTACTACTGGGTGGTGACAGTCGTCACACTGTCTGCCTCTACAAGGAAGTATTTCGTACATGAATAGATTGTGTGGTGTAATCTAGGTCAGGTCGCCCTCTCTGTACATCCCTTATCTGAGTATGAGTGGTAATGGCGGCAAAGCGGGTACGTGGCATTGAGAGTCACTGCAACATTCAGTAACACAGACGATGGTTATTGACAAAATAGTGGCTACATCGTCTTCTAACTTGGATCTACCACTCATGCGTTCATTATGGGATTATATGGATAACCGTAAGTTGAAGATTGTCATGTATTTAAATTGTTTATTTTGACAAGACACCAATTTCCAGGTGATTTGTTACAAACGAAGACAGGTTACAAGACAATTTCATTTTCACTTTATTGAAACCAATCGGAATCAATCTGACCGGAATATGATAGCCAAGCTCAAGTCCAGAAGCAGCGAGTACAGAAATGTGCATTGACCACGGTACACAGTGTATTGCAGTTGTTATGGGGGAACATAGCGAGGGTACATGATAACGCAGTGAGTACTTGGCCGGAGGAAGTAATTAACTGTCTGTCATAATAAAATGCCAGATGTAAATAGATCTATATGTTGAACAGTGTCCAACCAAGTACATGTGTATGTATGTGATATGTTGCTACTATGACACTTTATGGGTCTTCAACACGCCACCCAAATCATGTCTATACAACCTGGAACAATATCGACCCAGTTAATCTTAACTTCGTTTTGACTGTATGTGTGTAGTAAACCGGTTTCAGTGGATAAACAGTTACAGGGGATAACGCAAGGACGATCGGTATAATGTGTTTGTTGGTATAGTGCGACATGCTATCTCAGACCTTAATTGACTGCACTCGCTGTTATTCTGCAGGGGCCGCGTCAATAAGAGGATAAGTCAAAAATAATCCTTGACAATTTCTAGTCTGATATATCTCTTATACGCAATATTACCCAAGCGTCGTACATGTAAGTGAACGTTTTGTCCACAGAACTTCTATCTGCAAAAGTCTCCTTAATGAAGCTATGAAGAGGAACAGCCCAACACACGTCCCTCCGGACAGAGGAGGAGAAAGCCATGATGCTCCCTCACCTCAGACAGCTCGCAATCCTGGAACAGGTAATCTCCTCATACCAATCTTATGATTCTAAGTTTGTATGGTTATTGTTATCATGATTATTTATGTATCTGCATGCATTTCCATCTCCTTTCCTCGGCACGGGTGACCCTGTCGTCTAAGGAGCCGCAATTCGCTGTGCAATTCGCGTGGGCCAGAAACTTATGATTGCAGGTCCGAATTATGTTTCCAGGTTTGTCAGCACCGAAACCGTGCTTGTGGGTTTCACCAAGGTGGTCAACGTTTGAAACTTGCATCACTCCCCTGATACACTGTGATATAACTGGAATATTGTTAAGAGCGGCACTCACTCCGTCTCCTTGTATGCACGAACTATCATTAACGATATTCCGACGACGGCATGGAACAATACCATATACTTTTTATGATATTTGCTGATACAGTTCTGTGCAATTCGAAGGTGTGATACCCTGATATTTATCCACAGTTGTGTAAAATTTAAAAATTGTCGAATATGTTTATGTCTAACTACTGATATTTCAGTATGACAGCCAGTTGAGATTGAAAGACCTATTTTACAGAATCAACAGCTGTCCCTGTTACTGGCGCTACAGGTCAAAGCAAGGTTGAAAATCTTGAGGCAACAGGACTGAGGAATTCCAGATGTCAAGGTGATGCAAATGTTCATAGTGTCTTGTCATTACGTTCAATCAGTCTGTGGTCGCCCTTCTAAGTTTTAAGCGTAACTGTTAACATTTGTTGCAGCGTGCATACATATCTGTGCATGTGTGGCTGATTGTACTAATATATACTGGTTTTGTGCTAGTCCGTACTAATATATACAGGTTTCATAGTGCTAGCCCGCTGAGATACCATGCCGCAGTTTAACATGGATACACCACTCAGGTACTGTATACTGACTTTGAATCGACCAGTCCTTTGTTTTATCCCCTTAATGCCGAGCTCGGGGCAGGGAAACAACAAGTACCATCTTTTAGCGTGTTTTAGTATGACGCGGCCAGGGGATCGAAGCACCGAGCTTCCGCTCTCTCGGCAGACGCTCTATCCACAACACCACGGAAGTGGTATTTAGAACCACAACCTCCAGCTTTCCGGCCAGACGTCTTATGAAAAGATAAAATTCTCATTAAAAATCGTTGTGTTGAAATGACGAGTGACATCAATATTGATGGATATTTCTCTACATACGGACCCTTTGAAAACGTTAAATTTATGCTTCATATACACAGAGTAATCGATAACATGTTTCAGGTAGGAGAAATATGTCGACAATATTTACCATTTCTATTGGCAGTTGTGTTCATTTCTAGTCTCATGTTCTTGGATCACGTGACCCATGCAAACCATGATGTTACCTAATTAACTCACATGACAATACTTAATTTCCAAAGAAACACTACCAATGGAAAAATCATGTATATCATTGAAATAATGTGTAATCAGATGCAGAAGACATTCAGATACTGTACATTAACGAGGTAAGAACGTACACATTTCAAACCTGTCAAACTATATAGTATCATTCATGTCCACTCTTATATTGCGTTATTTTAATTATAATTTGATTGTTACTGAAATTTTGAAAAGTCTACTCTTCTTCTCAGTACAAGCTGGCGTCATTCATGGAGGTGTCCACATCTACTACAGTTCTTCTGGAGCAGGTAGGATTGGAATAGTTATCGTGATGTGTATGTTACACCAATAGGCGTGACACTACACCACACTACGTTTTATGGCGATTGCACATACCAAGACACGTAGTGCATATATGATCGAATACAGAGAAGGAATAGAAAAAGGAACGTTTCAAGTTACAAGGAAGGAACTTTAATTTGTTGTGTAAATAGGGGATATTTCAAGTGTCGAGTGAAATATCATGTTTCTCTCATGGAGTGATGAGGGGAAGTGAGATGTTTTCACGAGTGGCGTATTGAAGGTCACGAAAATTCTTTATCATACATTTCGACATGATTATGTACAAAATCAGCCATAAAAAACATATTCTTGAAAACTAGGAGAACGCTGTTCGAAGCAATGGAATACACGCTGGTTGGGTAACAGAAATGAGAAATCTACAGTTTATACCGAAACGTTTTCGAGGAAATTGCAAACGGCAAGCAGTGATATTAACTACATAAATGACCATCTGTCATTAGTTTGCCATGATGTGGAACTCGTGGAAAAGGGACATCAACAGTTTGTATACGGGCCAGACACTGGCGATAAAGGGGGATAATTTAAGAGAATGACAATAGTTCCACATGGTCACCCTGGTATAGTCACAGGGCAGTACACCTGATTAAAGTTAATATGCAGAATCATTTATTGAAGTTATTTATAGAGGATTCGTCACAAGTGTTCTTTAAATATGGGAACAACAACATCAACAGAGTCTTAGTTCATCAGCGTGCCGATACCTGTACACACAATACTGATTAACCGGACGAAGTTGATGTGACTTAGTATGTGAAATATATGAACATAAACACTTCATTTTCAGTTACGGGGATGAAAGGCGGAGAAATAATTGAAACTGTTTAACGAAAATACTACTACGAGTTTTCAAAATACAAACACACAGGAAAGACAACCTGGAGGTATTCTGCGATGGGGGGGATTGTGTTACTGTTAACAAGAGATAAGGTAGTCACACCACTCAACAACCCGATGAACTGGATCAGACGCACCTATAATACTGACTTGGAAAGTGTGGAAGACGGAAGTTTGTTATTTGTATTTATGCACGAAACTGAAGAAGACGCTCTGAGGATGATGAAGGACCAAACAAAAGTCAATCCTATGCTTCTGGAATTTATTCACAAATAAATATCAGTGTCAAAGATATCGAAATAAATGTTGAAATGCGAAAAACAAATCAATCAACAAATCCAGTTGAATTAGGTAACTTATTTTCAAGGATATAATTACATGTTTGAATATAGATTTACCAATAGTGTATATCTGTATAATCTCAAGTGTTGAAGCACAAGTATTATTTCTGGTCTCGTTCATTTTTCTAGAACTTAAAGATCTTGACAGAGACTGTGTGGCTGAACTGAAGGTATGTTTTCCCTAACGACTGTAGATAGCGTGTTCAATATTTGTATGCTATGTCTTATGTACTATGGATATTATATATTATATTATTACAAAGTAACATTAAGTTCTTTGTTAGATTTTGAATAAGTTACAGCATGTATATGCTGTTTTTAGTTTTGAAAAAATATGATGTGAAATATCATTTACTTACACATTTGTAACTTTATCTAAAATTTGTTTCAGCTTCGTAACGTTGTTAACGTCATGCAGCACCAAATAACAGACTTGAAGCGACAAGTGGTAAAGCTCCACAAAAGAAAAAGAACCAGGTACACACGCTCGTGTTTGTATTCACTCTGTTCCTTCAGTAACTGACAAACAGTACTATTGAATGACCCTGCTAAAAACAACTTGCGTGATGCATTGTTCAGGTCAAGTTATCTGTTTTTCAGAAACCAGGATGAAGCTTTTGATGCGACATAACGCCCCTTCCCTGTCTGAAACCAGCGGACACTGTGAGTGCCTTGACGATCCACTGATATTTAATGCACTCTTGTGGGTTTAAACTATAAGCTTTAACACATTTTAAACAACCAGTAATATGTCTGTTTTAAAGGCGATATTGAACATTTTCTCTCAGAAATTCAGCCGTTATGTCAATGGTATTTTGTTTGTCACCACACATTTATGAAGCATCCAAGATTATGGATCTTATATAGCGACGTACATGCACGTATGTGTGTGTGTGGTTGCTTGTACTAGTCCGGACTGTTGCCGATTTACAGTGCTAGCCCACTGAGATACTATGCTGCAGTTTAACTTGAATACCCCATTCAGCCACAGTATACCGACCAGTCCTTGTTTAAGCGCCAGACAGGGTAACAACAAGTACCATCTTTCTAACGTGTTTAGTATGACGCGGCCGGGGATCGAGACCCGGACCTTCCGCTCTCCGGGCGTACGCTCTACCACTGGACAACGGAGGCGGTCGTCACCTACAGACAAATAATAGTAACGTCACAGAACGAAGCGATTTTAAATACAGAATCATAAGTGCAGCTTTCTTGCCATGCCGTAACATTCTACGTGAGGGGATAACAAATGGTTTTCCATCATACAGCTAAAATATTCCAGAATCCAACGCCACTTCTCTAAGTTTGAGCAATACGGAAAGATACATTTCTTACACAGTACTTTAGGACACTAGTTGACGTTGTTGTTTTAAACTGCTTGTGTCTTGATTGCTGATGAGGATCGTGAACGGAATACACAGCTATAACCACCGGTGTTTTTGTGTGCATGTATTTGTAGCTTAAATATAGTTATTTTCAAACAGTTTCATGTTTGTTTTCAGATTCAGGCGAAGGCGATACGGAGTCAGTTTCAGAAGGTGGACACAGGTCGGACACAGAAGGTGGGATTTACAGCTACATACATTATTCCTTAACAAATCAAGACTCTTTTTTCCGATGGCATGTCATGGAAGTGATTAATACATTGAACAGTATTCGCATGTCCAGTTCGCAGTTCCTTTTTATGAGCTGATGTGTCGTGCATGTTGTCGCCGAAAGATTAAATATTAACTTACATAGATAGGAAACATATATTGCTTAGTTCCCTCTCTGGAGAAGATATATCGTACATGAACTTGTTGTAGAGAGAGTTAGGAGCTTTACTGCTTAGTTTACAGTAATGAGTAGAAATTACTTTATGTAGATGTTACAAATGTTGGCATACACATTGACAAGTTTACCCTAATGAATAATTATATAATATTTTTTATTTATAATATTCCATGCATTGAAACTACCAGATGCTAGGGTGCTACACTTACAAAATGCTGTGGTCGTTTATTTGTGTCTCCCAAATTATAAATAATATGACGATTACAACTAGATACGAATGACATCATTGCATTATCATTACAAATGGTCTAATGGACCCCTGTGTTTACAATTATCTACAAACTTATTAGTATAGTATGTCCACGGATAAATGTTTCGGGTGACTGATAAAATATCTGTAGTTAATTTCAGCCGCTTATATAGTTATTTCCAAAGAGAATGTTTTAGCATATCAAATCCAGTTTGTCTAAGATATTCATATATCAAGAAGTAATAAGAACGACTGATAGCCGCCGGTTGCCTCTGTCCGTTCGACCAATCCGATTAAAGGAAACTCTTAGTCAATTGAAACGAAGTATCAGACGCAAAATTAAACTGTATTTTTTGTCAGTTCAACAGTATTCTGTTTCCGAGGCAACATATCCCATTTTTCTTGTGATTGATAATACGAATATTGTCTGGAGCCCATCTTAACAAACTTTCTAAACCGTTGAGTTACGATGCTGATGCGTTGATAATGTATGTCAGCCTTTAGATTCTTAAGCCACAAAGGGACATTTACAAACATTCTATTTCATATGCACTTTCCAGGGAAGATGCTTCACCTAACGTCCAAGCGGGAGATACAAGAGGGCAACATGAAGCTGATCTACTATGACAGGAACCACATGCTGAATGAAGCTTGTCGGGAGGGAAAGTTAGAGATAGTAAAGAACATTTTGTCAACTGGTTCTGCAGATATAAATAACAAATCCCAGGATGGCTGGACACCTGTCCTACTTGCAGCCAATACAGGTCGAAAAGACATATTTGATGAGTTGGTGAAGAAGGGGTGCAATCTCTCAGCAGTGTTAGACAACGGCAACAATATCCTTCATGTGGCATGTTTAACTGGTAATACTGATATCACAGAATATCTTACAGCAGTAGTCAGTATTGACAGTAAAGGCATGTATGGCAGAACAGCTGTGATGAAGGCGGCGGCTGTGGGCAATAAAAACGTGTTCCAACTCCTGGTGGGTAAAGGATGTAACCTGTCAGCAGTGGATGATACAGGTAACACCATCCTCCACCTTGCCTGTTTTGGTGGCAATGTGCACGTTGTCGAGTATCTCATCACTCACAAGATAGCTGACATAGAGAGCCGAGGCCAGGCAGGGAGAACACCGGTGATGTTTGCAGCAGGGACGGGTGATCAGAAGGTGTTCGATCTCCTGGTGGGTAAAGGATGTAACCTGTCAGCAGTGGATGATGGAGGTAACAACATCCTTCACCTTGCCTGTGTTAGTGGCAATGTGCACATTGTCGAGTATCTCATCACTCACAAGATAGCTGACATAGAGAGACGAGGCCCGTTTGGGAGAACACTGGTGATGATTGAAGCAGAGAAGGGCAAACAGCAGGTGTTCGATCTCCTGGCGGGTAAAGGATGTGACCTGTCAGCAGTGGATGATGAAGGTAACAACATCCTTCACCTTGCTGCATTCGCAGGGACAGTAGGAATTGTAAACCGACTTCTCTCAGAGTCAGCTGTAGAAGTATCTGCCACAAACAACAGAGGTGAAACGCCAGTGCAGATTGCACTGAAGTACAACCAAGGCGCTATAGTGAAGATTCTTAGAGCTAGATCTGACACGCTGCTTTGAGTTTGGAGAACTATTCAGGGCCATATCAAGGGGCATATGTCGGAGTGTCTCTGGAAGTGTACATCTTTCAGAGCCGTCTGTGATAAATGTTTGTACAAAGATAAATGTCTTTTTTTCAATCACTGTATTTACAGTTTATGTACGTGATAAAATAAATGTTTCAAATCATTCACAAGGCGTCAGTTTGCTATAACGGCACCTTATCAACAGGTTCAGATTTGAAGTTGAGGTATGCAGTGTTACAGGTCAACCGTATTAGGGATCGTGAGAGTAGACTGGATATGCCACCGCCTTGCATCAATATATCTCAAAGAGTTATTCACTATGTTAAACATAGTGGGTTGAATGATTCCATGTTTTGTTTCATGATTGAGATATATACATGCATTACCGTACCCCGTCACACTTTGTCTGTATCAACAGGACACGTATATCACACTGCTACATTTGGTGTGTACAATGTAGACACGTATATCATGGGTTATAACCTCTGATTTGTGGGAGTACATTTTCACTCGCTCGTTTCCTTTTCCCAGACTTCAGCGACCACTTTGGAATATTGCTGTGCCTCTGTCGGGAAACGACAACCCGATAGTACTGTGTGAATAAAGCACACATATCACGCCAGAACAACTTTGATCCGCATCAGGGAGATACACACGTTATACCCTATCACTTCTGGTCTGTATGAGTGAGATATGCACATCACAACCTTTCACATCGGTTTTGTATGAGAGAGATCCGAACATCACACCCTGTTGCTTCTGGTCTGTATGAGGGAGATACGCACATCACACACTGTCACATTGGTTTTGTATGAGGGAGATACGCAAACCACACCCTGTCACATCGGTTCTGTAAGAGGGAGATACGTAAATCACACCCTGTCACTTCTGGTCTGTACTAGGAAGATACGTACATCACAACCTGTCACATCGGTTCTGTAAGATGGAGATACGTACATCACACCCTGTCACTTTTGGTCTGTACGAGGAAGATACGTACATCACACCCTGTCACTTCTGGTCTGTGTGAGGGAGATACGCACATCACACCCTCTTGCTTCTGGTCCGTACGAGGAAGATACGAACATCACACCCTGTCACATCTGGTCTGTACGAGGAAGATACGTACATCAAACCCTGTCACTTCTGGTCTGTATGAGGGAGATACGCACATCACACCCTGTCATACTGGTCTGTATGAGGGAGATACGTACATTAAACACTGTCACATCGGTTCTGTAAGAGGGAGATACGTACATCACACCCCTATCACTTCTGGTCTGTGTGAGGGAGATACGCACATCACACCCTGTCACTTCTGGTCTGTACAAGGAAGATACGTACATCACACCTTGTCACATCTGGTCTGTGTGAGGAAGATACGTACATCACACCCTGTCACTTCTGGTCTGTACGGGGAAGATACGAACATCACACCTTGTCACATCTGGTCTGTGTGAGGAAGATACGTACATCACACCCTGTCACTTCTGGTCTGTACGGGGAAGATACGTACATCACACCCTGTCACATCTGGTCTGTACGAGGAAGATACGTACATCACGCCCTGTCACATCTGGTCTGTACGAGGAAGATACGTACATCACGCCCTGTCACATCTGGTCTGTACGAGGAAGATACGTACATCACGCCCTGTCACTTCTGGTCTGTATGAGGGAGATACGCACATCACACCCTGTCACATCTGGTCTGTACGAGGAAGATACGTACATCACGCCCTGTCACTTCTGGTCTGTACGAGGAAGATACGTACATCACATCCTGACACATCGGTTCTGTAAGATGGAGATACGTACATCACACCCTGTCACTTCTGGTCTGTATGAGAGAGATGCGCACATAACACGATATCACATCGGTTCTGTATGCGGGCGATATGCACATTTCACCCTGTCACATCGGTTCTGTATAAGGAATATACGCACATCACAACCTGTCACATTTTGTCTGTATGAGAGCGACACGCACGTCCCACCCTGTTACATCAGTTTTGTATTATTGAGATACGTACATCACACCCTGACACTTCTGGCCTGTATGAGGGAGATACGCACACCACACCCTGTCACATCTGGCCTGTATGACAGAGATACGCACGTCATACCCTGTCACATCTGGCCTGTATGAGGGAGATCCGCACACCACACCCTGTCACATCTGGCCTGTATGAGGGAGATACGCACGTCATACCCTGTCACATCTGGTCTGCATGAGGGAGATCCGCACACCACACCCTGTCACATCTGGCCTATATGAGGGAGATCCGCACACCACACCCTGTCACATCTGGCCTGTATGAGGGAGATACGCACACCACACCCTGTCACATCTGGTCTGTTGAGGGAGATACGCACACCGCACCCTGTCACATCTGGCCTGCATGAGCGAGATACGCACACCACACCCTGTCACATCTGGCCTGCATGAGAGAGATCCGCACACCACACCCTGTCAAATCTGGCCTGCATGAGGGAGATACGCACACCACACCCTGTCACATCTGGCCTGCATGAGAGAGATACGCACATAACACCCTGTCACATCTGGCCTGTATGAGGGAGATCCGCACACCACACCCTGTCACATCTGGCCTGTATGAGGGAGATACGCACACCACACCCTGTCACATCTGGCCTGTATGAGGGAGATACGCACACCACATCCTGTCAAATCTGATCTGTTTGAGGTACGGACTTCACGCACTGTGATACTTGTTTTGTATGAGGGAGGTACGTACATCACGCCCTGTTAAATCTTATCTGTATGAGAAAGAAACGCACGTCTCACCCTGTATCATCCCTGACTGTACGAGGGAGATACGCATATCACACCCTCTTTCATCTCATCTCCATTTGGGGGACACGCACGGCACACCCTGTAACATCTGACCTGTATGAGGGAGATACGCACATCACACCTTGTTACATCGGTTCTGTATGAGGGAGATACGCACATCAAACTTGTCACATCTGGTCTGTACGAGGAAGATACGTACATCACACCCTGTCACATCTGGTCTGTATGAGGAAGATACGTACATCACATCCTGACACATCGGTTCTGTAAGATGGAGATACGTACATCACACCCTGTCACTTCTGGTCTGTATGAGAGAGATGCGCACATAACACTCTTTCACACCTGGCCTGCATGATTGAAATACGCACATCACACGATATCACATCGGTTCTGTATGCGGGCGATATGCACATTTCACCCTGTCACATCGGTTCTGTATAAGGAATATACGCACATCACAACCTGTCACATCTTGTCTGTATGAGAGCGACACGCACGTCCCACCCTGTTACATCAGTTTTGTATTATTGAGATACGTACATCACACCCTGACACTTCTGGCCTGTATGAGGGAGATACGCACGTCATACCCTGTCACATTTGGCCTGTATGAGGAAGATACGTACATCACATCCTGACACATCGGTTCTGTAAGATGGAGATACGTACATCACACCCTGTCACTTCTGGTCTGTATGAGAGAGATGCGCACATAACACTCTTTCACACCTGGCCTGCATGATTGAAATACGCACATCACACGATATCACATCGGTTCTGTATGCGGGCGATATGCACATTTCACCCTGTCACATCGGTTCTGTATAAGGAATATACGCACATCACAACCTGTCACATCTTGTCTGTATGAGAGCGACACGCACGTCCCACCCTGTTACATCAGTTTTGTATTATTGAGATACGTACATCACACCCTGACACTTCTGGCCTGTATGAGGGAGATACGCACACCACACCCTGTCACATCTGGCCTGTATGAGGGAGATACGCACGTCATACCCTGTCACATTTGGCCTGTATGAGCGAGATACGCACACCACACCCTGTTACATCTGGCCTGTATGAGGGAGACACGCACACCACATCCTGTCACATCTGGCCTGTATGAGGGAGATACCCACGTCATACCCTGTCACATCTGGCCTGTATGTGGGAGATACGCACACCACACCCTGTCACATCTGGCCTGTATGAGGGAGATACGCACACCACACACTGTCACATCTGGCCTGTATGAGGGAGACACGCACACCACATCCTGTCACATCTGGCCTGTATGAGGGAGATACCCACGTCATACCCTGTCACATCTGGCCTGTATGTGGGAGATACGCACACCACACCCTGTCACATCTGGCCTGTATGAGGGAGATACGCACACCACACACTGTCACATCGGTTCTGTATGTGGGAGATACGCACACCACACACTGTCACATCTGGTCTGTTGAGGGAGATACGCACACCACACCCTGTCACATCTGGCCTGCATGAGAGAGATACGCACATAACACCCTGTCACATCTGGCCTGTATGAGGGAGATACGCACATAACACCCTGTCACATCTGGCCTGCATGAGAGAGATACGCACATAACACCCTGTCACATCTGGCCTGTATGAGAAAGAAACGCACGTCTCACCCTGTATCATCTCTGTGTGTATGAGGGAGATACGCACATCACACCTTGTTACATCGGTTCTGTATGAGGGAGATACGCACATCACACCCTGTCACATCTGGTCTGTACGAGGAAGATACGTACATCACACCCTGTCACATCTGGTCTGTATGAGGAAGACACGCACACCACACCCTGTCAAATCTGGTCTGTACGAGGAAGATACGTACATCACGCCCTGTCACATCTGGTCTGTATGAGGAAGACACGCACACCACACCCTGTCACATCTGGTCTGTACGAGGAAGATACGTACATCACGCCCTGTCACATCTGGTCTGTATGAGGAAGACACGCACACCACACCCTATCAAATCTGGTCTGTACGAGGAAGATACGCACACCACACCCTGTCACATCTGGTCTGTACGAGGAAGATACGTACATCACGCCCTGTCACATCTGGTCTGTATGAGGAAGACACGCACACCACACCCTGTCAAATCTGGTCTGTTTGAGGTACGGACTTCACGCACTGTGTTACTTGTTTTGTATGAGGGAGGTACGTACATCACGCCCTGTTAAATCTGATCTGTATGAGAAAGAAACGCACGTCACACCCTGTATCATCCCTGTCTGTACGGGGGAGATACGCACATCACACCTTGTTACATCGGTTCTGTATGAGGGAGATACGCACAGTCATTTATCTGTCGATCGATTGATCATTTTAGAAAATTGTATGTATATATCATATACTGTTTACAGACAGAAAGATTATTTCCACGAACGTATCCCCACTAATTGCTTCAATAATAAACTATGTGTTGTTAATGTTATTCCTTCACCTACCATATATATTTATGTACCAAGAAGTTGCTGTCCATAAATAGTTTGTCTATTTTGTCATCCGTTAATTTCTATGAAACGCCTATCATACGACAGTTCAAAAGGTTCTTAAAAAGGTTATGCTCAATGAACAGTAAAGCAGTTAGCTAATCCTGTACATTAATATTTACAATGAATACCCTCATGATGAGGCCTACAGACCACAGTAACCGGAGCTAGGCCACCTAACCTGCGTAATTTACCATTAGGATTTACTCCATGGCTCCAGTAATAGAAAATATGATGAACTGTTAAATTTTGGAGTAATGTTGAATGCATTCCAATGCTGTAAGAATGGCCTTTCCTTCTGTGGTGGAAATTGATCTAGTGTTGTCTGAAAGATATAGTTTAGCTACTTTGCCCAAATCCTTTGACCCATCATTAAATATTGAGCGGTGAGTTTGACTTATAAGCAGGGTTGATTGAATTAGTTCACATGTATTGTCTCATCAGCAAATTGTCATCTGTAAGGTGATGATGGCGTTTCATGGATTACAACATGTCATTAAAACATCAAAGGTGATTTCCAACTTAAAACTCAGGGATTAAGCCAGAATTTGGTTCGTACAAATTTGGAAGTTGTGAAATCAGTTAATGATTACACAAAATCAAGGAATGATCAACAAGTTATATTCAGTCACACTGTTAGGTTTACATGCTCCACAAATATATACAATGGGTCAAAGTAGTGGCAGCATCAGCTATTCGTAACGATAGAATTAATGTAAGTGAATCCACAAATGTCGCAAATAATATAGTTTGTCCCTATCAAGAAGCAGGCCTATCTCTGTTCTTGAATCCGGAATGGCACTCGAAGTGGGCAGTAATTTGACGTACTTAACTTGATAGCAAATCGGGACTTGGCAGGTACATTAAACGCATACATACATACACGCATACATACATACATACACGCACGCACGCACGCACGCACGCACGCACGCACGCACGCACGCACACACACACACACACACACACATATATATAGCCAGCCATATACAGGGGGCACGGTTGGCCCAGTCGTCTAAGGCGCCGCGATTCGCTGTGCAGGGTTGTGCCCCTTTGGATAGCCAGAAACCTATGATTGTGGGTTCGAATCCCGGTTCGCCCCGATTATGTTTCTAGGTTTTTCAGCACGATACCCGTGCTCGTGGGTTTCATCGAAGTGGTAAACGTCTGAGACCTGCATCACTTCGGGCTTTCCACCCACATTAAACTGACACGCCGCGATATAACTGTAATACTGTTAAAAGCGGCGTTAAACCCAACTTACTCACTCACATTATACAAACTGTCCCATCCCCAAACCATCAAGCCTGTCGTGTTAGGAAACAGCCAGATAACTCTAGATTCCACTTCCTGCCGCCGTCAGCATTCAAGGTTTTAACAGCTCTTCATTTACAATTACCAACGTTTAGTCCTAACAGTACCGACATATGACAGGGCATATGTGTCAATGTCCACACTGAGTATCACAACCTGATTTGGTAGAAAAATGCATTTCATGTGTTTGAAGATTTCAGAATAACCAAATCTGTGAGGGAAGTTTTTAATATACCCTGCAATTGAGCAGTTAAACAGACATACATTTTGAACATAAATTTCCTATAAATAATAGATTACAATGACTCTAAATTTACCTATGAAGATCAGGCGTAGAATTGGTCTTCAGCAACACATGCTTGTCGTAGGATGCATCTAACGGGATCGGTTGTCATGCTCGCTGACTTGGTTGGTGTATGTCATCGTATCCCAATGGCGTGGATTGATGCTCATGATGTCAACCACGGGATTGTCTGGTCCAGGCTCGATTATTTTCAGACCACCTCAGTTTATCTGGAATATAGCTTAAAACAAACAAACAAATAAACAGTTCATCGACTTGATCTTGTTTTCTTTAAGCATTAACGGAAAGTATTTTGGTGCAAAACATTTTGATTACAATCATCCCTACAGTTTCCACTAACACATACTGTTTAAATTAGGGCAATGGACATGTAAAACATTTTAAGATATAAATAAGATGTTATATTACTACACCAATATGAACTTTGGAATTTGGGCCTCCTATATTCCAAACCATTTGCCCTCAAATACACACCGCTATTTGGATTGAAAAGGCCCGATCTCTCTCTTATCAAAAGTGTAAATAGATGTGTTTTAAAGTAACAGGACAATGCTTAAACATTAACTTACCTCGATATATGTAGCACATATGTAATAAATAATTATTATGTAATAAGACATATATTTAAGCTACAATCATAATATGAAATATTGAATGATGACATTAATATCATTACAGAATACAATTTTATACAACAGCCTGTTTTTCATCCTAAACAACGAATGTCTTATGCACGTCGACAACATTTGTATGGATATTACAATCTATGATATCAGTCGATTTATGTACACTATGTGCCAAGATCATGAATACACTTTGTAGTTGCACGGGCTGATTGTAATGAATTCTATCATATGTCATTTACATGCAACACCCAAATTATTACTGAACAAATGATCAAAAGACAGTAGCCTTGACTTCCTGATCTAAAGCTAGTTTGAGCGACCATATATTGAGTGGTGAATACACAACTGCCATTGCCTATATAGGAAACAGTGCAGCAAGTCAGTGTTAACCTGGTACAAACATGTACGTCTTCATTTCCCTTGTGCTGATCTATGCAGGTAAATATTTGTCAGTTTCTGTCTGGTTCTAAGAATGTTGCATGTGAAGGTCTTTTGATTGATTGATCGTTTTAGTTTCAGTAGTTGAATCAATAGTTGGGCTACTGCTGTGCAGGGTCAGACACCATAATTTTATACATATGTTTTGAGTAAATTGTGAGTGGTGAGTGCTACCAGTAGGGCAGAACATGCTTACCCTTTTTTTAGAACGTGTGGTGTCATCACTGATTTTCAGTTATTCATTCTTATAATTTGATAATTTGCTTTTATCAATGGAATTTGATTCGTCGGATAATCGAAATTTATCGGTTATTCTCTGTCGTTGACGTTTTTTCTTCATACAAAAAGCTGTTATTTAGACTTTGGCTGTTTACTTTAAACATGTATCTTTGTAATCTGCAGTTTATATGTGGGTTTATTGTTACATTTGTACACAGCAATATTCCAGCTCTGTGACGGTTTGTAATCGAGCCTCTACCAGACAATCCAGTGAATGACGTCAGGAGGCTCGATCAACGTAATTCGGAAACAATGACATGACAATCAACCAAGTTCGTAATCGAGCCTCTCCCAGACAATCCAGTGATTGACGTCCGGAGGCTCGATAAACGTTATTCGGAAACAATGACATGACAACCAAGTCACCGAACCTTACAACTCCATCAATATTGTGGCCTCCTACGACATGCATATATAGTCCAGTTCTGATGAGATTATGCGTAAGTTAGACATACTAAAAGTCTATAAAAATCTAATAAGGTCACCATAGTGACGTTTGCTATTCAAATGTGCAATATTATGTTGAAAACGTGTGGCGCGAATGGGTCGCCATGCAGGTAAGGGGAGATAAATCCTCACGATGTGAAGCCGACAATGTTGTTCACTTTGTGATTCAGGACGATTTACTTCAACAATATAAAATTGAAATACGAGATATTTATAATTTATGAAGACAATTATAAACAAAACTTAACATGAGACAAACACGTGTTTATGTATTGTCACCATTTGTTCATCTGCTAGTCAACCTCAGTCAACAGACCACTTTGAACTTTATATTCTTATGTATTTTAAACATAAATTTTGAATTATTATTTATATTATGCCAGTAAAAAAATGTATACGTTAAAAAAAATATAAATATTTTTAAGTGTTGAGATTATCATTCAGCATGGGGAGCGGTTTCAGAAAATGTACATTATGAATGGTTGTTTTAAAATAATATTATTTTTTCTTTGAATAGATTTTATTTTGAATATATACTTGTAAATACTGTATCCAAATTAAAATTACGAACATCTGAAATATGTTGATATTTGTGTTGACTTTTGAAAGTGGGAATGCGTATATGAATAAAATGCGTCAGTAGCTTTCATTGGTATACCTAATTGGTTTTCAGTGTTAACTAATAAACCATTCGCCTTAGTTTTAGTTGTTGCTTGTATATTTGTGAATATTTGTTTGCATAAGGTTAATGTCGTGTATTCACATGCGTTTCAAGTCACGCTCATACTCAAGTAAGCAGAGTGTGACATAGCGGCTTTGCTACACATGGAATCTGCCTTGCGAACATAGTTATGATATAGAATCGCATATATGTATCATTCAATCGGAATGAATCTTTAAGATCAAGATGCGGCGATGACCCCTCATCGTTTTTCAGCTCATGGGTCTCATGTTGTATAGGCCCTGTCATTAAAATGGTTATGAGATGGATCATGACCTGTGTTGGTATTTTTAAATTATGTATTGAGAGACAGCATGCCAAGTGTATACAGTGTGCGTGCAAAGACACAGTTGTTTATGCAGTTTATACAAACTTTGCAATTTCATGGACGAAGCGCGCATGAACTTGAATGCCCATTAAAGATAATATGAATAATCCATGTAGATCGACCATCAGCAGAAAGATAGTGCAGTTGATAGTATTTGTAGCTACACAACGTTTCGTACCCATACTGTCAGCAAGCATGCACAATCTAAAAGATTGATCCAAATGAAAACTGATGAAAGGAGTATGTCCTTGTCAGCCATTGAAAGCTGATGAATGTGTTGTTCTCGTGTGTCGTTTGAAGATGGCAAACAGACCTCAATATTCTGAGACAGCATAACAAGTGACTTGTGACAATTGTGTGAGTGCCGTGTGCTCTCAGTAAAACAGAGCATGCTGTCCCTTTCCACGAATTCCTGGTGTCATCACCGATTTTCGATGATCCATTTAAATAATTTTCATCTATTTTGAACTTCACGGGTAATGGAATCTGATTTGGCAGATATTCATTACGTCTTTTTCCTGTTTCTTTATTTGTTGTTTAACGCCTTACTCAGCAACATTCAGCTGTATGGTGACTAGACAATCAAACGATTGACTGCATGAGCATCGATCAATCAATTGAAATACGATGTCATGCAATATGCCATGCAATTTACCTGAACACCCTTTCCATTTGGTCGCCTCTTACGGCAAACACAGGCTGCTGGGGACCTATGACGTTTTGAATTTCCATGTATGTAAATCTTGTATATCCTAACAAAAATAATAATTTATGTTTTCCTGATTTTCACTAAATCTATTGATTTTCATGAAAATGCTATCTGATATCAAGACTTAAATATTTGTATTAGGGCACTATGACACCCATCAATCTGAATAAACAACGTTAGAATGATAACAATTAAACCTATAAGTGATCTGATTATGAATTGTGTATAATGTCTTTGGAGTCATATAACAGCAAACAATACAATTTACAATTTAGGAAAAGAAGTTATTTTTCCTAAAATGTAGACTTGTTTGTTTGTGCATTGTTTTACACTACAGTCAGGAACAATTTTAACTACATTACTTTGGCCTGTAAATAATAATATCGACTCTCAACTGGTTGTGTGATAAGAGTTAGAGCATTTCAAGGTCTTAGTTAGGCTTTCAAAAGACACGTGGAGGACATTGCTATATCGGATGCATGAGTGACCAACATGATACCTGGTCCAGTTCAAGGAAGAAAGTGAAGAGGCAATGGCAGACACAAAAATGTACTCCTTCTTTTTCTGAGTCAAATTGACAATTTTTACTGGATGCAGCTTTTGCTTCAAGTGAACGGCCATTTTATTACCTAAGGAAAGTCAAGGGACGTAACTCTCAATGGAATATTTTTGACGGATGATGGCACGTCAACAGCAGCTCCCCACGTTTTAATAGTTTGTTTTAAATAATTATATTTTGGTGTTCATACGTCTTGTTTTGTTATGATTTATGTATCTGTCGATATAAGGAGTGAAGAGAGCAGGCTTATGAACGTCAACAAATACAACTTTAATCATTAAGTTATTGTGTTTGTTTGTTGCTTAACGCCACACTCAGCATTATTCCAGCTATATAACGGCGCTATATAGATGTATTCTGGGCCATAGTGACTGGACAGTCCAGTGAGTGACGTCATGAGCATTACTCAACTGGGATACGATAACATGCATCAAAAAAGTCACCGGGCCCGACTACCAGATCCCATTATTTGCTCCTTATGAAAAGCAAAGGTTGCTGAAGATAGTCAAGTCCTTGTTCATAACTAGTTTTTTCACGAAGTGTTTGTGACAAATTTCTTATACATCAATTTAATAATATTCTTCCACACACTTCTTTCAGGTTATCCATTTCCGTTGACATGTTCCAAAGTAAAGTCCCAGTTCATAACCGGTATATTCACGATGTGTTTGGGACAAATTTCTGATATATCAATGTAATAATAATCTTCCACATACTTCTTTCAGGTAATCGAATCTCAGCGGAAATGTTCCAAACTTCAAGAACTGTCAGCATTTCAAATCTGACAAAGGTTGACGGGCAGACAGTGTTCAGCTCGGATTCCCTGTTGTTTGACGTGAAGAGTTGCAATGAAGTGCAGTTCCTCATTAACTTCGGTAAAAGTTTGGCAACTATGGAAATTTATCCGAACATGAGTTCCCAGGTGAAGTACTGTTATGATAAAGTCAATGATGATGATTGTTCTGTGAAGATGTTTGCTGTAACTGGTGACCTGTGTGCCGGCTATACACCATTGTGGATGCAGTTGGCACCATTTGATCTGATGATTGGAGAAGGTTGTGACGTTGGAGAATCCACACATTTCTATTACCCTATGATCTTTGGTGTCATTACCAGCGTCGGAGTCTCGTCTACAGATGATGCACGGTGGAGACTGGGTAAAACAACTTACTCTGATAGAAAAAGTAGCTCAACGGGCCAACATAATAGGTCATAATGGACCAGTTGATTTAGTATTAATTACTACACTTATGTATTGTCAGTTACATATATAATACATTAAAAGTGAGCATCACATGAAACATACATGAATAATAAAAAAGAGTTAAAATTCTTTCCACATCCAGGTTAGAATTGGTCTTCAGCAACCCATACTTGTCCTAAGCGACTACCAGGATCAGGTGGTCAAGGCTGGTAGACTTGGTCGGTGCATGTGATCGTATCCCCTATCCCATTTTTTAAAAATCTATGCTGATTGTGCCAATCGCTGATATTTCTGCCCTAGACCAACATAGCTGGAATTGTGTTTACAACGAACAATCAATCAAATTAAACATGACAAATATATATTATGTCCGTATGCTTATTTGTTTGTTTGTATAAACGACAGACGAACTAGTGATTGATATATGCAAGGAAGCAGGCAGTCGAGGTACGATGACTCGTAATTAAGTCAGCCTGATAACCTGGGCCCTGTTCCACAATGTCAGCTAAGTGACCTTTAATACTTAAGTTAGAATTAAAAGTACTAAACATTATTCTGAAGTTACACCTGCTTTGCAAATCAACCTTATCTCAACCTGAGTCCAACTCTTAGTGCTAAGTTTGCAATCGTAAGCTGTATGAGATTGCCTGCTGAAACCATTACTTTTTAAGTTGTTAAAAACACAACAGTTAAGAATTGCATTGCCTATTTCTAACTATTTGTGACTGCCAATTTTTCGTCAAATCGGCGCATGTAATTTCTAGAGAAAAGCGGGTACGAAACTATCGCTAACTTTCACATTATGGCATGCCTACGTGTTGTTTGTTATCCTTGTACATGTGTACACATATAATTAAGAACTGTACTTAATTCATCCTAGGTAAAAACACACAGAACAACCCTTTAAGGACAAAACGTAAACAAGTTTGAGAAGTACCCCTTGAACTACAAATCTATGAATCCACTCGCCAAAAGAATCCCAAAACGAAAACGAAACGAAACATTCCCCAACAGTTTGACTGTATTATCATCACAAATGTCTTGATAGTGTCGATTGTCTTCGTATATAGCAGAGGTGATAATTTTCTAAAAGAGTAGCAATGCCGCTTTTAGTCATGTACTTTGAACGTCACGAAGAAATACAATTACTACAGGTATGGATCCCATCCTCTGTTACTTATACTTCATTACACCCTTATTTGATGCTTCAGTTGTTAATTTTAATCCTTTATTAGCAATGCATTCACAAGTATTCACATATGTTTAAGCTACGACCTTAGTTATTACTGGATGCCGTTTTCACTGAAATATGAATATTTATGTGATAACATTCAAATGCATGCTTCATATCAACCATAGTGAGTTAAGGTTGAGTTGGGTGAACCACAGGTTTTGATAGTAACCTGAGGTTAACTTTAGTAAGCTCGACGAGAAAATGTGCCTGGAGACCAATTACAACCCAGAATCACAGACACGAATTGAAGCTATGGTGTCAGAAGTGTCCAGGGTTCATAACAAAATGTAGATTGTATACACTGGATAATCAATCAAAAATATGAATAGGGCATAAATTGAGATAATAACGTATCAGTTATAACACATATTGATGTGCTGTAATGTCGGTTGTCTACAGGAGAGTCTGCGTGTCAACCTGTGACCACACCAGCTACCACCACCACCTTAACAACACATACTGCAACAACGCCTGCGACGACACCCGAAGCACCAGGATCCTTTGTAAATGATGCAATGATGAATGAAACCATGCCTAAGACTTTGAACATGGGGCGATCTGGCGGTGCTGTCTACAACAACTCCCTGACTGTGATGACCATGGTTGTTACGTATGTATTGTTCTGTCGAGTTCCATGCAGAGTGAATCAGGCACCATGACCATTTACTGGGGACGAATGTACCTGAATTGACCGTATTCTCGCTAGAATCACACTGAATGTATTTTTAACAGCGCCACGCCAGTGTAGCTCACATGGGAACGTAGTCAACAAGTTACAATTTCTTGCTGCACCAATTATATTCAAATAGTTTATGCCTATATACAGATAATTGTTGGTATGTATTGGGCGGGAGGCTTCACCAATGTCACTCACAGATCATTCCATTGGGGGAGGGGGGTGCGGGATTTATGTGTTTGCGGTCATTTGATCGTTCTAAGAGATGGAGTGGGGATGTCTGCTTGGTGCCTAAGTAATATGCTGATTTGATGAGAAGTCAGGCCAATGTAGGGTAGGGTGATTGTGATTGGGGAATTCTGGTCTGGTTGGTTTGGGTCTGGGCTTGAGTGTTGTTGGGGTGGTCCTCTTGATAGGCATTGGCTTGGTAGGATACAGGTTGAGATTGTTGACGACATGCTGCAGATGTCTATGTTCATGGTCATGGTCAAGGTTGCTGGAGCAGATGTTCTTGGCTCTCTTGGTCACTTTGGAGACGATGCTAGTTTTTTTAGAATGGTTAGAGTTGAATGTACTGTTCAGAATGGGTACTAGTTGTCCTGTAGGCAGTGGTTGGATCTTTTTGTTGGGGTCTCTGGAAACAGAGACGTCTAAGAAGTAATTGGACGCTCTCTATCTCCATGGTAACAAAAGTGTCGTCTACCTTCCTGTACCAGCAGACAGGGATCGATTGGGGATGTGTAGAGGGCATATTCTTGTTCTTGTTCTGGGTGGGTGAAAGGGGATCCAATGGGGACACCGTGGATCTGCTCGTAGGTGTCGTCTCCTCGGGCGAAGTAGGTTGCGGTGATACAGGATCCGATGAGGCTGATGATTGAGTCTTGGAGTGGTTGGTCTTGGCTGGGGATGCGTTGACGAAGGATTTGCAGGGCTTCATCAGTAGGGACGCTGGTAAAGGGATCAACATCATGGCTTATGATCAACAACATCATGGTGATGCTCTGGATCTTTTGACAACTGTGGAGTCTGTAATATAGGATTTAGTTGTCTTACCGAGAGAGGAGAGTTTTCTGGTGAGGTATAGAGCAGTGTTGTAGTGGACAGTGTCTCTGGAACATACAAGTAATCAAGCTTTGATGGCGTTGGTATGGGTCTTGATGGTGGCACGGGCATGGAAAGGTTGTGGTAGTGAGATGGAAGGTTTGTAGTACTGCTGGGTAGTGTGCTAAAAGGTGTCTTTAAGGCGTTTCAGTGGAGGATTGTGTTGTCGTTCTTGTCAGCCGGATTGATCTTTCTTGAGCATCTTGTTGACCACAGAGTGGAACTCAGATTTATTCTCTAGGTTTATTGTCCATTGTCACATCATGTTATTTTGGTATATCATATACACAATAAAACATGCAATGACATATACATGTACCTACGATATACCTATTCCTTTTCAGGTTGATGTCCTTTTTGAAGTACTAACGAAATCTACAGCTCGAGCTGGTCCACCTGTAGATGCAATCTGTCACGTTTGTTCCATAATGAATTAAAATCTGCTGTGATAATTATGTGTGGAACTATTAGAAGATGTCTTAGAAAAAACTACATATACCTGTTTAAAGCAACATTCCATGTTGTCACTTCCCACCAAAAACCGTACACCGACCTCTTGTACATATGCAAATAATCATTATCTATCTATTATCATTAAAACATTCTATTACCTACATGTCCGGGTGAGGTACAATACCGTGGCACAATTTGTGGACCTAATGTGGGGCTCTGTCCAAACGTATGCCGAGTCCATTCATAATTAGCTGGACGTTTGAAGTTGAATATTTTATGAAAATAATTGATGTCTTACTGTAAACATTGTAAACAACTTATGTATGACGCATAGTATCAGAAAATGAACATCGGAGAGCCGATCGAGCATACCGATCAAGGGACGTATGCAGGTGATTCCCAGTTCTGAAACTCCTCCACCGAGGTCATTCTACTTGTCCCCCTTTTGTAATGATTCAGGTGGCATTTCAGTGAACCTATTTCAGTTAATTATAAGAAAGGTAACACACTATCTGAACTCACACCCACCCCATCCCTACCGTACCACCCTCCATCAGATTTAGGAGGTATAAACATTTGATCAAAATCAGCACTTAAAAAACAGCAAATCGTACGTAAAAGCTTCAACAACGTTTTCAGTGAGATCCCTGCGTATGAAACCTGTATTTACATAGTCATTCAAGGGGATGTCTTAGGCACTAGAAGTCGCTGTGAAGAATGACGTCAATTTAGAACACAAGAAACATGTGATCGTGGTTTCGAATCCCTGTTAGCCCAGAATATGTTTCCAGGTTTGTCAACGCCATACCCGTGCTCCCGGGTTTTACTCAGTGACGACGATTCTTTGTCAACTGAATGTGTTTATTTGTTATAATTCATACAGCTTTGCTTGATTGGCGGTTTCATTCAGATATGAAATGTTCTATTCTTTAAGAGGAAGTTGGACCGGTACCGTTTTTACCCTGCCCACTAAACAACTCTCAGTTGTGTTGTGTAAACAAGATAGTGCTGCTCCACCATGTACAGAAACAAATGCCTAAGTAATAAAGGGATACGTGTAGGATAATGCCTACGTAGCAGTTTCTGATTACCAATGCTGTACCCAGTGGCGATTCCAGGTTAGAACTGATCCCCATCAACCCATGGTTGTAAGAGACAACCAAAGTGGATCGGGTGGTCAGGTTCAGTGACTCGACTGATGACTGATGGTGTGTCCCTTGGCATGGATCGTTTCTCATCACATCAATCATTGGATTTCCAGTCCAGATCGATTTTGTACATGCCACATCATAGCTGAAATAGTGTTGAGTGCATACGTACTCTACAAACACACACACGCACTCATAATCTTGTTGTTTTTCCCATGCAGTGAACAAAACGGAGAAGGAATATTGCACTGTGATTTTAATCCTAATATTGATAAGGGTGTACCCAAGCCTGGCCGAACTCATTAAACAGTGCGCGATACCAACTTCGGTTTCATTGCAAATTGCATGCGTCGGGATAATCAACTGCGAAATCGTAGCTATGTACTACAATACAATCCAACACTCACAGGTCGCCAATACATAGCTACAATTCATTCCTATAGAAAAGCGACTGTGTCAGAATATTGCTGAGTGTGTCCTAATGGTAATGGATATCGTGTAAATGTACATACAAAATTCATTTATATTTATCATTAATAAGATACAGGTTAAAAAAGGTATCGGGACACATTCGACAGGTTGTCTCTCTGATCCACTGGTCTGGCCAGATACGAAAAATTCATTATTCCCACGACATATGTAATAACGTCATCGTGGCTGCTTCGTGGTACTTTAAACTCAAATATGGGTACACATTGAGTGGCTGTAGCTGGACGATGTTTTGGTTGATGATACTCGTACATGTCTGAAATGAACATGAGTTGTAATTTGTAATGCCTCATACATTCACATTTCTTTTTAAAAAACAAAATCCCAATTTTGTGAAGTTGAGTTGTGATATTGGGGGTCGATGCCATGATGGCATTTACGTGTTGTGTGAATGGTGGTTTTCGTAGTCACGGGTTTAGACTCAACTGAACCCAATATCACCATTTAAAGTGCAGTGTTGCAGGTCGTTTGACAGTTTGTGACAGTCTGAAATATGACGTTAATGCAACCCAGTCTTGACATAAGATGGTGGTAAAGGGTTCACCGTTTCTAGTCCACACATGCATGCTAACCCAGACATGTTAAAAACCAGGGATTATAGTTTATGATGCGTGTGTGTTTCCCTATCGTAAATGTCATATATCAGTACATTAAATTGTGATATGAGATCCTTATTTTTTCAGCACTATGCCCTTGCTCTTGCGTTAAAAGCAATAATCTACAGACTACCTTTCTTCCTTCATTAACCAGACACACAACCATACAGACATACTGTGGAACATTATTCCAGTTGCAGCACGTAGTTCCAGCTTCATGTGTGATGTTGAGACATTTACCAATTTGGTAAAACCCATGAGCATGGGTAAGGTTGTGGGAGAGGCGGATGATCAAAGGCTTTCTTGTTACTTTAGGTTACTATATTCCTAAACGATTAGGACACCTGTGTCCCCCTGTGCAGTTGTAACTGCTGATGCTTTTCATACTAGAATAGACTCATTCACTCAAAAGTAATCTCCATTTATTCGGGTCCGTGTACACTGGAATAACAGCTGAACCTGCGATTAGACATCCACCTTTACAATAGAGTCATTCTGTCAGTAAACTGCTTCCTATGAACTATATCCGTTAAATGGATCATATATTTGCTGTTCATACTTCTTGTAAGGTCGTTTTTACGAACAAAACGAATGTAATTCTCATTACCACACAAATAAATCGTTTGAACACACAAAAGTACTAGTAGTTCTAGGATCTAGCTATAGGTTTTGTGTGTTTCCAGTAGTGGATGCCTTACCTTCAAAGTAATACGTGCGATCGTAGACTTTACTGGTTTCATAGATGATACGAGGGGCGTTTAATAAGTTTTGCAACTTCAATATAAAACCAAGTCGCAGAATATCTATTGCCCTTTTTATGTTTCCATATAATCTCCATTCACCTCAATACACTTATTCCATTTGTCCTTCAAGCTTTTAATACCACTTTTATAGAAATCCGCACTGGCCCTCTAACCACGCATCTGTGACAGCCTTTATGTCCTCGTCATGCTGGAAGCGTCTTCCACGTAGGGCAGATTTCATTTGCCGGAACAGGAAATAGTCACTGGGGGCTAAGTCTGGGCTGTAGGGTGGGTGATTTAACTGTTCGAATCCACATTCACATATGGCGGCCTGTGCAATTCTCGACTTGTGAACCGGAGCATGTAAGGAACTTTATCACAGCACGTTGTTCATGTTTGAGAGAATCCATGGTTGTGGCCACCCTTAGGTAAAAGAAGCCATCACATCTAACTTGTTGTTGTGTCTGGAACTTGTTATGACAGATGTCAACCTGATGTTATGCCTAGTGTCACACCTACCACAAACTGACATTGTTTTTGTAAACACAAATGCCCAATTTGCAAAACTTATTGAACGCCCCTCGTAGCTTGTTTATGATGCCCGGGAACGTATGTTGTATTTTTATTCGTCATCAAAGAATATCTCGAATTTGTTTATCCGTTGCTAAGGTTAATTGCACTTGATCTATGTCACTAAATCCTAGATTTGCGCAGGAGCATGTGTGGTAACCTGTTTCCCGGTCTTGGTCAAGTGGGTTGGTAGAACTCTACATAATTTCATATAAAACGCCATTACCCAAGGTATTATATCTCCATTGGCCAGCCATGCTTTGTTTCAGAAGTGCCGTTATTATCTCAATTTCACTTAGCACTTACTTAATGCAGGATGTATCTCTAGAGCGTAATTTGATTGGACGGCTTTACTTAAGCTTATGTCATTTGAATCGGACTTAAAAGGACGTTATGAAAGGTCATATAATACACTGTATAATCGATGACCATTACATACCCCTCAGAGGATAATGCAGCATCAATAAGCTCTTACTTGCTACCCCAGGTGGTCCAAGAATATATCCAATTCCGAATCCGAAATCCAACAGCTAGATTAGACACTCCTACACATTCCATAGTCATTGGGTTCAGGATAGCCAGTTCCAGCTGTGGAGACGCAAAATGCAAGAGGAAGTCTTTTTTTAAAGTAGAGTCCAGGTATGGTGCCTGCTGCATATATTGCTAGACCTGCTCCAAAACCTGATAAACAGTCACAAAAGGTTATGAAGACCAAGAGAAGTTTTATTCATTGTGTAGTTATGTACAGGTATAGCATACTTCGAGACGGGTGCACCATGCGTTTAACATGACAATCACAAATTTATAATTTGTATAAAAGTAATGAACAAAAAATAGTAAAGATATAGATTTTTCTCGCACATTCTCTCTTTCTAATAATATTACGATGTCTACTTTTACCTGTCAGGATGCCATTCGTGGACAAAAGAATGAATGAAGCTACACTCAGACCAATCAGAAGCAACTTTCCTCCAGAACATGAAGCTGCTCTGCAGCCAAATCTGACTGTAAAATATACAGCTACTTGACCTGATAGAAATAACAGTCAATTTGTTGATGAGGATATTGCAAAATACAAGATATTTAGCGAACATATGATGAACAGTCAATGAAGAGATGCAATTATTCTTTTCGAAGATGATGTAAAATTATAGCCCTCCGTTTAACTCTCTTGTCTTAATAAGTAGTGAGAAGGTTCTTTGCTTACTTTTGATAAGTAAATTGAAGTCTAACTTCACGATTTATTTGTAAGTACAATTACAATTTAACCAAACCATCATGTCCAAATTACGATATAATGGACACGTACTACATATTGCTTTGAAGGTGGTTTGTAAGGGTGTTATTGTGGGTGGTGGTTATGGTAGAGTCTAAATGTCGAAAACATACTTCCTGCAGCAAGTACGTGTGACTTGAGGACAAGTGAGGATCTCTTTGACAGAGGT